GTTATGGGTCGGCAAGTATACATGGCGTTCAACACGTCGCCGAGATGGCGCGGCAACCCCGGTTGTGGAGACAAACCAAGCCGTCTCCTTGCACAGCCCCAGCCCCAGCTCTGTCCGTGGTCTTCGTGGGGCAGGGGACGACCCACCTGAGTTGCTTGGTGCCGGCTAGCTGTCTGTGGCGTAGATCAGCGGCATGTGGAATGGTCACGCGCCCTTGCTCGTGCCAAAGTGCCAAAGCAAAGAAATGGCCTCAATGGCTGCGAGACTCAGAAAGGGCATTGTGAGAGAACGCGGGAGGAGGCAGTGTTGCGTTAGGGGGGTCCGGCGTAAAGCGACATGCGCCTGGGCGGGCGGGCTGGCGTCGGAGTAAGTAGGGATGGCAGTGAGCCGCTGCGTTTCGCTAGCCGGGTTGCTAGTGGGCATGAGGCGCAGGGGCGTCCGATGCCACGGGCCGGGCCTCAGCGCCGCTGGGCGCCGGCAGAAGCAGCCAGCGACACCGGCTTGTGAAAACAGCTTGTGAAAGCAAAGGCGAAACCCCTTCTTGCACGTGTTTTTCCTCGATTCTCACAAGCACACTCTTTTCACTCGCTTCTCACGCGTCAAATGCGCCGGTACTTCCATGTTCTTCAACATTGCCGAAGAACACTGGTTACAACCCAGGTTGGGCTTGTGAAAATTGAGTGAGCTTAGGGTGGAAGAATTTCAGTGTTTTCTTGGTTTAAGTTCAGGGCTTTGAGGGTTTACATTTAAGTTTTTTAGGTTTCGAGTTTTGAGGGTTTGCGGTTTTTGTGGCTTTTAAGGTTTTGGGTTTCAAGGTGTTAGGAGTTTGTTTTTAGGATTGGTTGTAAGGTTGTTAGGGTTAAGGTTTTTCGGGGTTCAGGTTTAGAGTTTTTAGGGTTTATGGTTTAGGATTTAAAGGTTTAAGTTTCGGGTTTTGGGCTTAGGGTTTCGGGTGGTTAGGTGGGGTTCTACGGTTTTGAGTTTTAGGGTTTAGGGCTTCGGGTTCTTAGGGTTAAGGTTCTGGGTTTTTGGGGTTTAAGGTTTGGGCTGTTCAGGGTTTAGGGTTTCCACGGCTTAGGTTTTTAGAGTCTAGGCTTAGGATTTTTGAGATATAAAAGTTTTAGGGTTTAGGGTTGTCTGGGGGTTAGGTTTGGTTGTTAGGGTGTAGGTTTAGTTTTTCAAGGCTTAAGGGATCTTAGGGTGTAGATTTCGAGCTTGTTTGGAAATGGTTTACGGGGTTTAGGGTTATTCGGGTTAAGGTTTCGGGCTTAGGATTTGTTTAGGGTTTAGGGATTCGGTTGTTAGTGTTTAGACTCTCGGGTTTTTGCCGTGTCCACGGTTTAGTTTGTTTGGTTTAGGTGTAAGGTTTTTGAGTAGGCTCTGGTTTGTACAGGTTAGGTTTCGGGTTTTTATGGTTTTAGCTTCGGGCTTAGGGTTTTTGGGGTTTAGGTTGCGGGTGTTTGCGGACTGGATTTTTTGGAGCTTAAGGTTGTAGGGCTTAAGGCTTTGGAGTTTGGAGGTTCTCAGAGTTTGGAGGCTTCAGGTCTTTGAGGGTATAGCTTTCAGGTGTCTGTGTTTAGGCTTCGGGCGTTTTAGGGTTTAGGGTTTTGTTGCTGTAGGTTTGGGGCTAGAGTTTTTAGGGTTTAGGCTTCGGATTTTTAGGGTTTAAGTTCAGGGGCAAAGTTTAGGTTTTTTTAAGGTTAGGTTTGGGGTTTGATGGCAATAGAGTTTTCAGGGTTTAGAACTTTCAGGGTTCAGGTTTTTAGGGTTGATATTTTTTACGGTTCAAGGTTTTGAGAGTTCTCGTGGAACTCCGGCACGTGAGAATTGGGGGAATTCGACTCGTCAAATTTCAGCGCGCGTCCAAAGCAGAGCACCACGCAGACTCCATGCAGGGCGTCTTGACGTCGTGGGCATCAGCTGCCACAGCGTCGGGGGCGGGGGGGCTGAGCAGCCTGTGCCTTCACGCGGAAGCGGGCGGCTTCCGAAGGTGGAGGAGCGTGCGAACGGATCCCTCCTTGGAAAACACGGCGTTTTGTGTTTGCTTTCTTTTTGTTCTTCGCAGGGGAAGGCAACCCAAAACATCGCCAAACCCCCCTGACCCGAAGCGCCGGCAGGCAAGCTGCCGTGGCACAAGTTGCTGGCCAGCGGTCGCAGCGAAAGTGCGGCTTACCAAGGGGCGGACAAGTGGCAGCGTCGACAGCCTGTGCCATACCAGGTGGCAGCGCACAGCCGACAACCTCCACGTTGCGCGCGCCCCTTGTGCACGTCTGGGACGTGCAGGCTCTGGGACGATCGGCGGACGTTCTGCGAGGGGTGGTCTCTAGCTTTACGATAAATTAGGGTAATGGATCGCTGGGCCGTTCCTGGGTTGCTGGCGAGCGCGCGCAACTCGCTCGCAGGCCAGCCGCCTGCTGTGGGTGGCTCGAGCCCCAGAGCCCCCGGCACTTAATTCACCCCTCGAAATGCGTCCAGGAGCACACGTACAACCCTAGCTGCCAAGCAAGAAGGGCAGCTCTGCGCAGGTTTGCCGGAGGTTAGCAATAAGGAAAAGGAAAAGAGAACAAGACGGGAGGAAAAGAGAGAAAGAGCGAGAAAGAGATGGACGGAAAGAGAAAGAGAGAGAGAGAGAGAGGGAGAAAGAGAGAGAAAGAGAGAGAAAGAGAGAGCAAGAGAGAGAGAAAGAGAGAGAAAGAGAGAGCAAGAGAGAGAGAGAGAGAGAGAAAGAGAGAGAAAGAGAGAGCAAGAGAGAGAGAAAGAGAGAGAAAGAGAGAGCAAGAGAGAGAGAGAGAGAAAGAGAGAAAGAGAGAGAATGAGAGAGAAAGAGAGAGAAAGAGAGAGAAAGAGAGAGAAAGAGAGAGCAAGAGAGAGAAAGAGAGAGAAAGAGAGAGAAAGAGAGAGAAAGAGAGAGAGAGAGAGAGAGAAAGAGAGAGAATGAGAAAAAGAGAGAGAGAGAGAGTGAGTGAGTGAGTGAGTGAGTGAGTGAGTGAGTGAGTGAGTGAGTGAGTGAGTGAGTGAGTGAGTGAGTGAGTGAGGGAAAGAGAGAGAGAGAGAGAGAGAGAGAGAGAGAGTGAGGGAAAAAGAGAGAGCCAGAGAGAGAAAGAGAGAGAGAGAGAGAGAGACAAAGAGAGAGAGAGAGAGATATAAAGCACACCGTTCGACACGTGGCGCAACGCTGGGCAAGTCTCCGCCAGCAGCAAAGGCTTGGGTTAGCTCGCCCGCTCTGCTCACGCTAGCCACAGGATGCTTTGCGGCCGCTCCTTGCGCCAAATAGTGGTTATTTGCTTGGTTCTGTGGCTCTCTGACAACAGTTTGTTCTTTGGTCACTTCATGTTGTTTGTTGGTCCTGTGATTCTTTGACGTGGTGTTGTTCTTTGGTTGCTTCATGTTCGTTGGCTGTGTGGTTCTTGGAGGTTGGTTCACTCTTTTGTTCCTCTGTTGATGGTCGAAGGTTCCTTGGTCTTTTAGTTCTTCCGTGTCCGTTGGTTCTGTGCTTCTGTCATTGACTTTCTTCGCATTGACTACTTGGCCCTGTGCGGCCTTGCTGTTCTTTGGTTCCTCGCCTCATCTCGCCTCTTTCACGTTTTCTGCTCCCTTGTGCCGGGCAACGGATGCGGAACAGACTTTGCGACCTCACGTGCTCTGAGACACTCCGAGAGTTTGCAGCCGCGGCGTGAGTCGCTCGGCTCGCGTCAGGATGGCAGGAGGGCACGAGAGCTGAGTCAGATCAAACGGTAGCACCTTCCCAGTGACCAGGTCTTTCTCACTTGCCCAAAGGACCCAGAAATAAAAGGTTCACCTTTTGGCACCTCCACTAAAAATGGGTACCAGAACGGGAAAATCAAAAGGTCAGATCAGGTCGATTCGCTTTGGGCAACTGAGTCTTGGCCACCATTTTGCAGCGGGAAACCTTTCGGCAGGCAGGGTTCCGTGGCCCCGCTCCATTTCGGGGGCGCGCAGAAACCGAGCCATGAGTCAAGCCCACGCGTGTTTTAGCCTCATAGGGGTAGCTTCCCCATGCTTTTCCAGGGATCCTTCTTTCTGGAAAACCACCAAACACACTGGGGAAATGGCCGGTTTTTGAGAAGAAAAAAAAGATGGCTGAAAAGAATGGACAAGGAATCAACCGCTAGACTCAAATAGTATTTCCACTTTGCCGTGATCCGTGAATTCATCCGTCTTGCAAGTGGCCGACGGCAACGCGTGCGTCTGACAGCACCTCTCCCACAGCGTCAACGCATACAGGGCTGGTGCTCCTTACCTGATTCACCTTTTGGGGACTACGACTTTGCGTACCCAAATGGACCAAACCGTGGAAAACCAATGGTTGACAGGTTCATGAGATTTGGAGAGGCTAGGATGGTCTTGAAACCACGACTTGCAACTCCTAAATGTTAACAGGTTCAAAGAGCGGCTTCCAAAGGATTCAATCATATCCTACAAACGTACATCCAGCTTGATGGAAACCGGAAAACTCGGGAAAGAACCAGCTCAGCGGTTGCAGGACTCACGCGCTCGGGTGTGGGATCGCACCAAAGCGCCAGCTTCCTGCGCTGCTTGCTGCTCCGGTCGGACTTGTGTGTCTTGGTGTGTTGTCCTGGGCGTGTTTGTTTCGGCCAGGACACTTGGCTGTCCATGAAGCGCTCTGTATGCTACTCTTGTTGCTGACTGGTTAGTCGCGACCATGTTCTGTACAATGGGCTTGCCCGGGGCTCAAGGTGGGACGGCGTCAATCTCCACTGGGAGCTTCATGGCGGAAGGCGGTCGCGCTCGTTCGCTCTGCTTCAAGAACTCGTACGGCGCTCGAACGACCCCCGTGCGCCGAGCAACGTTCAACGGAGCCAAGGGGCCTGTACAAACAACGCCACCGGCCTCCCTCCTCTTGTTCCGGGCAGGTCCCTCCGTCCACTCATGAATTCTACATGGCCCGGTAGAGACATCCGCCCGTGAAGCTTACGCAAGCTCAAGTGGCGCGCCGCGCGCTTCGAGATCTTTTTCTTGGCTCTGCATGGCTTGCCGTCTGCCGGGCGCGGTTTCCGCTCGGGCCTGGCAGGAGTCGGATGGTCCGGGCGGAAGCGAGTGGTGGTGGGGGGGTGGCATGGAAGCTATTCAAACGATCACCAGCCAAATTGAGCGCTGATCTGCACAAGTCCTAGGGATTTCTGAGTTCAAAATGGAGGGGCCAATCCAAGAATCCACGGTGCATCCCCTCCCGGAAGGAACCGCTCGACACCAGCCGCAAGGGAAAATGAGATACGCAACCCTGGTATGACGGCTATATACGGTGGTTGGACAGAATCCTGCGCCAGTTACGTTGGTGGGTAGTCTTGTAGGCAGCAAGTGTTCCAGTTGTTTTTTCTTTTCTCCGGATACAAATCTGCAAACAACTCAAACGCACACATCTAATTCTAAGCAGCCCCCCCCCCCCCCATGACTACCAATGGTTCGGGCCCCGAAAACACTATGTTCACCTTGCGAAATGGGTTTCCCTCCGACTAACCTGGCACCTGAAAGGGGCTCCCGTCAAGAGGAAATTTATCCTCCAACTACCTCCCCACAGGTGCCATGTTAGTGGGAGGAAGGGTATACCTTGCAACCCGCGAATGGGTTTTGGGCATGGGCACAAATTGTAAGCGGGTTGCCATGCCCAAAACCCTGAGCGGATTGCAAGGTGTACCCTTCCTCCCACTACCATGGCAACTGTGGGGAGGTAATTGAGCCCCTTTCAGGTGCCAGGTTAGTCGGAGTGTAGTCCATTTTGGTGGGAGCTGAACCACTCGGCGGGCCTAGACTTCGTTCACCTGCAGCTGCATCTTCCGGAAGTCCTGAAGAGCAGCTAACGCGCTGGCGGAGAGCCCGTTTAGGGGGGGGTGGTAAAACACGTGGGGGGGGGGGGGTTCTCAAAATAGTGGTCACCTGCAATATGATAGTATTCCTTTTGGTTTCCCTTTCAAACCCGCCCGCCTTCAAAAAATGACAGCCATATCCATGTATCAGAGAAGTGGGAGGTTCCGACTCGAAAACACACCCAGCCCCCTTGAGACTTTCCTTTAGGAACACTAAGAAGCGGCTCATCTAGTTCGAGCACCACGTTCCATGTCACCCAAGACCGTTTGACGCTTGGCTCGACCAAGACGATTATGAAGGTTGACGCAGGCCTTGCTATACCCTCACGAAACAAGGTAGTTGAACCACCGACTAAAATGCCTTCAGAGTTTGGGCACAGCTCCTGAACCAAGAAATGGAAATACTTGCCAGAAAAAAGAAGGTTCCCTTCACAAAACCTCAAGCAAATCCGGCCCCTGTATGACAAGTTATTCGCTGTTTGCTATGGAAGTCCCTTGGACCTGGTCGTACAACTGTGGGCAGTGCTATGGGAGGGGTACAAGCATCTTAGATCCAACCTGCCCAAAAGCACCATCATATGCTATGCACGCCGATTCAGTGGTCTTGACAACTCTCACTTCCTGCGCGGTTTGGACAAACAACCTTCTGAGCTTGTTGATGAACACCGACCTCTTCTGGTTTGAAGAGGCTTCCAGCCAGGCACTCGCGAGGTGACCCGATGTACCCACTACGCCTTCTGGGGGTTCAAAGGAAAAGCAGAAGTACTACCCATCTGGGAGGCTGCCTTTTCAAACAACAAACACTCGAGAAACAGCCCATGCTGCAGCCCAAGACTCAACACCGATCACAGCCACTACGAGGCAGTCTGGTTGAACCCCACATGAAACCATGGACAACACCCGGCGAAAGCCTCGGCCAATCCATGGTGGTTTTGCTGATTGGGGGTTTGCTCCTCAAGGGCTTGAAGAGGGCTGATTGAAAGTTGAAGAGTTGGGGAGTCAACTGGCCATGGGTCAAAATCCCGTACCATTCCCCACTAAAGTAGACCAAAGTGGGAGGTGCACCAAAAACCACAAAAATGGCACCATTGGTTTTGACCCACAGCCAACTGGCTGTGGGCGTGCTGGGGATCCCAGCCAGGAACTTCCAACAGGCCCATGGTGGGACTAGGCTTTCCCTGCGGTTGTCCATCTTCGCTTCGCCCAGTGCTTCCCCCGCTCTCCTTCAGGATGTTCTCCCAGTTGCTATCTCTGCGCGAAATGTTGGAGCAATTCAAGACGACCTGGCCAACCGGGTTGCAGGGGGGTCTTTTTGCCACCTTTGGTCGAAAAATGATCGACCCCCTTGTAGTGAAGGATTCCTTTTTGAGGGGGTCGCCAATCTTCTCACAAAAGGTGGCAAAAAGATCCCTTTGGCCAACCGGACATAGACAGCAACAGCGAAGCAAGCTTCAGGAATTCAGGACTTGCTTCCCCACCACGGAAAGGCGCTCACTCCTCTTCCCACCAATGCCATCTCTGAGTAGAAAAAAAAGCAGCCCGCCTTCAGGACTGCGAGCAAATTGAACAGTTGTCACGTCTACTTCCCCTTTGCCGGTCTCTCAGATGGGTATGTGTCAAAACTAGGGACTTGAATTTGCGAACCACTCCAAAAGAAACCCCTGAACACACACACACACAGCCAGACAGCACACACCCACACAATCAAACTGACATGCGCACAGAAGCACATGTAAGCTAATGAAGGTCCTCGTACGGGGTCGCCTCTAAAGATTCCAATCTAAGCCAGGTCTTGCTAAAACATGCTTCTTGATGTTGGCTCATTCTTACTATGTCCCCTTGAAACATATCACCCAAGATAAACCTCATTCAACATGGGCCTAGGTGATGCTACCAGCCAAGGGGGTCTGGCCTTGCGGAAGCGCATCTTCAGATGTGCCATCGCCTCGATCTCCGGGACCCCCAGCATCTGGCGCGCGAGGCGAAAACCGAAGCCCCGAAGCCCCGGGTACCCCCCCTCCAACTAACATAGCACCAGACGTGCGGTCCCCAAGAGGAAACCAACTGGGTCCTCCAGTAGAGAGGTTAGAATAAGGGTACCAACTTTTTCTGGAGTCTAATTATTTTAGTTGGGGAACCCTGCCAACCAAAAAAGGGTAAAAGGGCACTACTGGGGGACCTAGCCAATCTTCCAGGTACCCCCCCAGAGGTGCCATGTTAGTGGAAGGGAGGGTAGGTCAAACCAAAGCCTCCCCGCAAGCGCCGAATTGCTTGGCGGACAAAAAGGCGGAATCTCGCAGGCCTGGTTTCTTAAAAACGGCACATGCCATGAAGAGCAATATGGCTGTGGGTCAAACATAGGCACCCAACATGGAACCCTGGCAAATGGAAACATGGGCACATTGCCTGCGGTCCAATTCCTGAGGGTTTAATTTTGACTCATGCAGAGGTGCAAAGCAACTCCTGAAGTTGGGGAATATGTAGCGGTCGCTTCAATGTCCCTATTCTGTCTTGTTTTTTTTCACACACACCAAAAAAAAAAAACGTCTGACAGAAGTCGACAGTCAAAAGACTAAGAATCCTGTTGATTCGGATAGCCATGAAGGGCTAGGAATGCAAACAACCCCAACAGTAATGTGTGTGTGTGTGTGTGTGAGTTTGTTGTTCGACAGTACCGTTCGCAGGTTCATGGGGAACCACAGTGGTCGGTGGACGTACATCCCCGCCTACAGTAAACTGATGTCCACCAGAGGCCCCCTTTAAGCTCATGCCCACATAAACATATAATATACAATATGTCATGATTAGAGTTAGGCCCAGTTATAGAATGTATATGTCATTGTTTGCTTCACTTTGAGTCACTGGTAAAATGTAAAATGTATCCTAAGTCCACCCCAGATGTGACATAAGTTGTATATATGAAGCATAAGCTACTCATCTGGCTAACAAACATTGGCCGGGTGTCCCATGAGAGAGGAAGCCCCGGTCAGATTTTTCGGGGGGTTGTCTCCCTTTAAGCTGCCAGGTTATGTTGGTCGTGTTTTAGATGCCGAGGTCCACCTTGCTGGGGCCTGGCAAAAAGAAAAAACACACTTCCGGCAATTTGCCGCGACCGGATGGGACCTGGAGAACAAATCAGAGCTTTCACCATGATAGGCAACCAGGGCAACCAGACACCACCGACTATTTCTATTTGGGTGTGGCTCAAAATTAAAGAGGAGGGGCAAACCGCAGGTTTTGGCCCATGTTTCCACTTGCCAGGGCAACCCATTTTGGAATTCCGTTTTTTTGAGCCACAGCCATTTGAATGCATGGAATGCGAGCCATGGAAGCACAGTCAGGTCCGCGTGAGCTTCCTTGGCTTTGGCTCCAGCAGGACGTGAATCGGGTTTATCAAGCTAGGCCGAACCCGTTGCGGTGTGTTCCCTTTAGGTGTCCCCTGTTGGGATTTGTTTTCTTTAAGGAAAGAACACATCCTGGCCACAGTTTACAATGCAACCTAGGTCCTCCAGTAGGTCAGAAGAAGGGTACCAACTCTTTTCCGTAGTCTATTTCAGTAGGGGAACCCTCCCCAAAAAAGTTGGTGAGAAAGGGCACTGGGAAACCTAGCAACTATACGCAAACGAACCGCGTCCACCTCGAAGAGCGCATTCTCTTCCTGCTCCTCTCGCGCTCGAGTTTCGAGTCGCATAAGTTGGTCGCGGGCGCGTTTTGAACGAGGAATGGATGTGTTTTTTTGGGGCCCCGTGCCCTGTTCGGGGTTGAACAAAACCACAAGGAAACAAAACCCATGTTAGGGGGTCCCTTGCTTTGATAACCCTTGACTTCCATGTGGGCCCTTCAAAATAACCCCGAGGAATGCTCCAAGAAGACATGTCTGGATATGCAGAAACACAGGCAGAGATGCCGCCCTCACAGGGCTTTGGGATTTTCAACTCCGAAAGGGTAGCGCTGGTTGAAACAGCCTTGACAAATTCATCACTCTTCATCCCTCAAGGTTGGTTTTCTATGGTCTTCAGGTCAAAACAGGCCCAAACAAGGCCCAACTTTTGTTGACACACAAACAAACAAACAAACAAGCAAACAAACAAACACGCAGTTTTGATGGCAAGAGGCCACCAGCGAGACTTCCCTGCAGCATTTGCCAGCCACACAGTTTGACATTGTCTGCGGCCAGTTGTCACCACTTTTTCTGGGAATACAGCATCGTTCTGCATTTGTCCGTCCACTTGCTGGTATGTGGCGTTTTTATTTTTTTTTGAAAAGGTCAATTGCCGAGACTTCCCCCCCTTTGGGCCTAAGGCTCGTGAACTCAGCGCCTAAGCCTCGCCACTTCGGCATCAAGCCCTTGGCTCTTGGAGATGCCCTGGGGTTGACTGAATCGATCGCTGTTTTACATGGACCCCAAACCCTAAGGGGACCAGCAAGCACCGCCCACTGCGTCCAACAAGCAGTCGTTCTTTTGGATGTGTTTACCTTTGGTTTCCCCTTCGAACCCCAAAGAGGATAGGAGGCTTGCCTCTGCCAGCCAGTGGTCCTTGGAGTCAGAGAGTGAATCCTTGATTTGCACATGAAACGCTCTTGGCAAAGACTCGCCAAATGTCCAAATGCACTTTCAGGGTGTTCACGGTTCTTCAGTCCAACCAAAGCCTTCTGCGTTAAACCCCAATGGTGTGTTTGTTGTTGATCTTGAATCTCTACTTTGGTCCCTATGAACACAACCAATGAAAAGTCTCAAAGTCTGAGTGGTGCTTTTGAGCAAGGCATCGCCGAAATGCCAAGTTGTCGTTCAAGGACATTGTCTTGAAACCGAAGGCGCGCCACGGTGAACATGTTATGCCAATTTGGGTGTGCATATTGTTGATGGTGTCCCCTGTTTGGTTGGTTTCAAAGGGACCCCAGAGGAAATCCACCAATTTGTGGGGGTCCAACCAACAAAAAGACACGCCCACAGTGCAGTGAGAACATTGGTAACCCCCCCCTTTTCTGGTGGGAAACTGACTGAGTGGGTCCCTACTGCACGTGTCCCCGACCTCCAGTGGCCATGAATATCTTCTTTTGCGATCTGAAGAAAACACAAAAACCAAACCTTCAACCTTCCAAAGACTCGGTTACGGAAGGACCCTGTGTTACCCTTTTGGGTGCTCTTTGGTTGGGTGAACTGGGGTGGACTTCCTGCCTAGATCGCCAAGTTGCTGCTTTTTTCAGTCACTGTTGCTGGCTTTTGGGGTAAAGTTCATGGAAAACAGCAGCAACTGGCGATCCAGGTGGGAAGAAAACAGCCACCGGGGGTCTCTCCGCTCGGACGGACACCTGGCCTCCTCCTCTTTTCTGGCGGCATCCTCTGTGCTCCGCTTGACGTTCAGCACCTCGAGGCGATGGGCCGGGTGGTTCGCAGAGAAGCGTTTGGCTCAAGACCAGGGTCAGTCCAGTTTCAACGGGAACCGTTTGTTCTTCTTCTTCTTTTCCCGCTGTTTTTTGGGAAGGTCCCATTTCTGCTTTTTGCGACGTTTGGGAGGGCCCCTTCCCAAAAAAGTGGAGATGCAACGGATTTGGAGTGGACCTTCCAAGTCGGGCTACAACAAGGCAACGCTGGAGACTCGCCATAGCCACAGGGTCATGAGCTGCTAAAAGCCGGACTTGCACACCGCCATCGGTCATCGGCACATGGGAAATGGACCCCAAAAGTGGTCAGGCTCTTTCGAGCTCCCTGTGAAAGGAGTCTCACGTCCCAAAACTGCGTCACTTTTGCCAAGTCTCAGATCCAAAATCTGACAAGAGATCCCAACATGCCCAGTGAACCAGGGAACCCTTGATTGGAAAATCAGTTTTGTGCATCCACCCAAGCAAAGGCAAAATGATTACACTGAACTGGGAATTTCTAGAGATCGCGTTAGGTCACTCAGACCTTTACCTGAACCCGACTTCCCAAGCTAGATATGTGCGTGTGGAGTGGGTACTAGTACCCTTTTGGAGAAAATGTTGTGAAGGGACACCAAAGGGACATCGGGAACATCGGGCTCTACTTCCGGGCCAGATCCGTATGATTCAACTAACCGCAAGAAGACCAGGTACTACCACCACCGACCAAAACGGCCGAACAAAAACAACATGTAGGCGCTCACAGAAGGAATCCGGCCAAGGGGAGCCTGGCAAACCACTCGGCCGGCGCCAAGCGCCCGGCCAGGAAGAAGACTGAGACGCGGAGCTCGTCCTGTTGGACCAGCTTCAGAACTTAAGGGCTGTGGCCACAGGGTCAATATGAGCATCTTTTGCAAGAAGCAAGAAACAAGTGGGATTCCCCCCCCATCCCCTCATTTTAAGACAAACTCATATATGCTTGTTTCTTTGTGTAAGAAAAAATGAATCGGCCCTCGCAGGAATGGATTCAATCCTGAGTCGATTTGCCATTGAAAGCCGAAGGCCCAGAACAAAGCCGCCAACTTCCTTGGATGACTCCGCTCTCCAGCTCGCCATTCTGCCGATGTCAGCACACAATTCGCGAAAAGAAGATCATATAGGACTGTTTGAAACGGAACTTATGTGAAACCAAGGTTGGAACGTCAGAATTCCAACGTGTCAACGCAGAGCATGTTCGTGCGTTTGGGTAGCAATACATAACGACGCGATAATTCTGGGTGAGTATTGATTCCATCCAGCAACACGGAGAGCCCTGACATTGTCATGACCAACTGGGTGCCAAGTTGCTTTTCCTTTGAACCCGGTCACTAAAGGGCCCAAAGAGGCCTCGCTTTTTGGGCACTTGCGCTCGCGCCTCGTTCAGGAGGTGGAACAATGCCTCGCGAGCCTCAGGCTGAAAAATGATCTTATATTCCCACTCCAAGTAACTCAGCAGGTCAGTGTCACTCACCCTTTGATCTTCTAAACGTCCAGCTATAGTATGCTATAGTGGGATACCTCGTAAATCCCGCGGTCAACCCCTCTAAACTCCAAACAACTAAACGTCTGAGGGTACGCCAAGTTGAAAATGCCCCTTATGCATAGACCACATGCTGTTTTATTGCTATGGTCATATCGTTGTCATGTACTCTGATTCGCAGGGGCGTGCCGCGTGCCCCTCATGGCTCCAAGCTGTATAACCTCCATACATGGCCCACAAAACCGGGGTACAAGCCCAGTAGTTCGGTGCACTCCGCTGACCTGTCAACTCTGAGCTGAACATCTTGCCACCTTCAAGTTGGCACACCCATGTTTTTTTCCACACCGAGTCCACTCAAGCGAGACCTGAGACATGCCCGCAAGAACCTTGAGCCTTTGATGCCCCGCAAAAGGGATGATACCTGCCGCGTGGATTTTCAAGAAAGAGCCGCGGGTCTATAGACATGATGTACACTGGAAACCATGGGACTGGGATTCCTACTTTAAAAGAGGATGCCCGGGGCACCCGAGGAGAAACGTGCCCCCGCCCCAGGCGTTCCCCCTTTGATAGGGTACACCCCTCCTTCCAAACAAGCGCCAAAGGCCCTGTTCATCTGACGTGGAGACCACCTCCACTCATGCAAACTGTCTGCAAGCCCACCGAATCCCCTCAGGCCATCGAAACCAATAATTTGCCCTTGGGTATCTTGAAACAAAGAACTCACTTGAAACGGTTCTGGCTATTTCCAACCCAGCCAGAAATCTTAAAAGCGTCGGTTTGGGCTCCCCTTCTTGCTCTAGGCTCATGTTACGAGATGTCCAAAACCTGAAACAAGAATTGGACCCGCAGGGAAAGGATCTTTAGCATGGTGAGCTCGTTTTACCGGATCAGTGAGCTCCCCCCCTCGTTTCCGGCGGCTCAGTCTCGCCCTCCCCCCCCCCCCCGTTTCGCCTCACTGAGCCTTCGGAAGTTCTCCTGGCGGGCTCTTCCACCGAGTGTTGGCAAACCGGATACAAATTCACACAGCACATGGAGGGCGCCCCTGTTGTTGGTGGGTTCTGGGTTGCTTTCTGCTCCCTGCGAAAAGCTTTAACTTTTAGGGTTTATCTCTTTCTTCTTTTTAAGCAAAACCCATTAGTCGGCCAAAAGTTGAAGCCCCAACATCCCTTGGCAAAATGCGCCAAATGGTTTAAAGCCTTGCTTGGTGATTGTTGAAACGCTTGTTGGGGGTCCCCCGAAAATCGGCCCAAGCCCAATTCTCACTCAGCGCACTTCAGTCGTTGGGTGCGGGATGTCATGAGGCGCGAGTTCCTGAAGACTTTGCGCGCGGGATGCGTGTCCTGCCTGGGCTGCCCTCAGGTCCCCTGCTGAAAAAAAATGTCACTGGTGGGTTAAATGGAAACCCGACGAAACACAAGTAGGTCGCAAGTGTCCAACACCTACCACCGATCTGCTTTGGATGGCGGGCTATAAACACTAAAAAGCTAAGAAGCTGCGGAGATGGCTGGGAGCCACCAAGCTACTGCCACAAAAGGCTCTTGAAAGACAAGGTCGCCCTTTACAGCCATGACTTGGCGACTTGGTGGCGATTGCCCCCTGCGCAAAAAGATTTACTTGACAAAATTCATTGAAAAAATACAGAGTGCCAAGAGCCATTGAAGTCCAAGATCTGAGAACAACAGGCCACAGCTGGACTTTGCTTCACTTTGAGTCACTGGTAAAATGCAAAATGTATCCTAAGTCCACCCCAGATGTGGAGGGCTTCAGTTTTTGCAAAACCCGCAGGGTGCCGTCTAGTGCCAGATCACACGCTGATGCCGTGCTTCGCCTGGGTGAGGTCAAAGCACTTCTCCGAAAAGGCGTCCACCTCAAGCTTTGGGAACTCCCGAGCTTGGAGAAGTCCTAAAACACACTGAATCCTTGCCCAAAGGACCCAGAAACAAAAGGTTCACCTTTTGGCACCTCCACTAAAAATGGACCAAAACGGGAAAACCAAAGGTTAAAAGGTCGGCTTTGGGCAGCTGAGAATCCTTTTAGACGTCTGAAAACAATGAAAATAATATATCCCTTGTTGAATTCTGTGAGGGGAAATTGAGAGTCAAGTGCCAACTCAGCCACCAAAGGATTGATGTTGAACATCACCGCCCACCGCCAGAACACAAAGCAGTGGCCGGGCACGATGTTGAAACAAGCCAGAACTGGGACATAGATAGTGACCTTTTGGTGTAGGCCAGCACTTGGGGTATGTCATCGATGCTTAATACTGACCCCAGACTAACAAATATATTCTACTAATTAATGAGGTGTTGCCCTCCAGAAATGATGAATCCCTACTAAAAGGGGACACCCCCTATTAATCAGCCAGGGTTTATTAATCTGGGGTTCCCATTATTTTGTTGCTGGAGTGTGAAATGAATCTGTTCGTATGTCCCTCTCCTCCACCCAAACAAGTACCCCAAGCTGCAGAAGGCCTTGGGCGTATTGATTGTCGGATGGCAAGAACAACGGCCATACACCGAACTGATACGTTCCGTTTGCTTAATACGCCTGGACAACATGAACAATCAAACCCAGTCATGACAACTGTCAAATCGTCCTGGACCTCTACTTGAACGAATAACCCCCTGGCCAATTCTAAAATAGGTGGTGCCGTTTTTGTCCCTTTGGAGCAACACCCAAATCAGCTTCCCTCTCATTCGTGGTTTGCATTGGTTTGGTGGTGTGGGATGGTTTCCCATTTACCCTCTACAAGAACCAGGGGCTCAGATCCAATCCACCAAACCACCAGCTAAGGGGATGCATTGCATGAAAACGGGGGTTGCCCTTTTAAAGGGGGATCTATATGAAAAAGGGGGTTGCCCTTTTAAAGGGGGATCTATACATGAAAAAGGGAGTTGCCCCTCTTAAAACCACACACTCATCTGCGAGTGTTTTCCCTGCGTTGCCCGAGCGCACGGCCACGAAGAACACCCCGTGCACGTGGAGATACCTGCGAGGCTGTCCCTTGAAACATGTTGCTCTGCCACATTCATACTGCGGATGGTTGCGAAATCCATTTTCTTAAGCACCACCTAAAAAACCCTGGGGTGAGTCGCTTCCCCTGTAAATACCAACCTTCTGCTTTCGCCACCACAGGATCCGGATCCGGATCCCCCTTCCGTGCCACCCCGACAAGGTAAGAATCCAACAAGGCAAATGCACCTCTTGCTCCGATGCCCATGGAGCCAAAACGCTCTTGGTGAGCTTGGGTGTTCAAGCAGGTTCGGAGGTTGTAATCGTGGTCGCTGGTGTAACTGAGGCTGGTCCCGTAATCATGGCTTTAACAGACAAACGAAGTCGGTTGAACATCCAAGTTTCAGGCCCAATCGGCCCTTCACATTTGTTGGACCCCCCTTTGTTTGCCGTGTCCGCGTGTGTGCCTTTGCCAAAAAAGCGCGAACCGCTTTGAACCTCTTAAACTGGGTACAAGCTGCTCTTTGACTGTTTGGCAAAGCGAAGAGGACTTGTCCTCCAGCCCTGTGAGTACTTTATTTACGTGCTCCGGAAGATAAGGGTGCATTATAAGTATAAGGATGTTCAGAAGTGCACCCTATACATACGGGTCCAAAACTAAGGTCCTCCAGTAGAGAGAATAAGGGTAGTCTTTCTCTAGGAACCCTCCCCCAGAAAAGAAACGGTAAAGGGCACTGCTGGGGGACGGGTCCACAATGAATACCCTTGTGCTGTTTGTTGGCTTGCCCTCACCGACGTGTCCAGAGCCTTGGAGCCCAACAGGGCAAGGCCACGGACATGGATCTCCCCACCAGGCGGATATGCGCCCGCGCCTTGTTTTTGTGCTTTGCTTTTTTCACGAAACCACGGCGGCTCGTCTTTTGTGGGAAACAGACCCCGCGAAAAAGGGCTTCGTTTTTCCCTTCCGTTTCCCTTTCAAGCCACAAGCATTACCAACTCCGAAAAAAGGCACACCAATTCTGAATCCGATCGCGCCTGTAGAACATGGGCCACAGCGGGCGCATCACGTCCGAGCCGGGGACTTCCCAAATGGTGTACTGCCTCCGCGCGCTGCGCGCGGTTCTCCCTTTCACGGCCAGACTGGGACCTGTCCTTACCGTAAAGGAGGGTGTCTGCAAAAAAGGACCGTTGGCAATTGAAGATAGGGACCAAAAGGAAACCAAGTATGGAGACCACTATTTTGAGAACCCCGCAAATTAATCTCTGGCTCGAGCTTGCTGACTTGCTGAGGCTACCAAACACCTACTTGCAACCAACGGGATGCGGAGCCTTGTCTGATTGAAGTACAGTGGGTTGCCTGGGGGGGGGGGGCCTTGCGCAAATGGAAGCAACAGCTTCAGCATTCAGGACTATGGACGTGTGTGTATATATATATATATATATATGTGTATACGCATATCTGTATATGGCGTTTCGGAAAATTAGGGACGATTCCAGAAAAGACCTGATTTGAGACTCTCGCATTCACAAATGTATGAGCAGCTGACAAACTCACCACAACAGCGATACCCACAAATACGCATCACCCATACTCTAATGCTTACTGCTGCTAATACCATGCATGCGCGCACACGTGAAAATATGGATGAATGTATGCATGTAAATGTGTGCGTACGTGTATGCGGATATGTATATGTATATGTTCATGTTCATATACATGCGTGTGCCTATGTATGTGTATTTCTGTCTGGACCAGGCATGCATGCGTGTATGTACGTAGGCACGTGTGGGTGGCTGTGAGTGTCTATATAGCTGTATATATAGCCGTATATGCATGTTGTGTGTGTGCGTATATATGATGTACACGCGCGTATGTGTGTATGGCTGCGCATGCGGCCTCTGTCTTGATTGACATGCTCCAAAGATCTGACTGCGACATCCAAGCCAGGCAAGGAATCTCAAGGCTTGGGAAGGGAAAGGAAGGGACATAAGAAATCTCACCATAAATCTTTTGACCATTACCTTCCTCTTCCTCATGTCACCTTCATTCACATCCTAAAGTAACTTGTAGATGGATGTGGGAATGAGAATGTGTGATTGTTGGTGAGAGAAGTGACCTGAGGATTAGAAAGGTTTATTGGCAATGGAAAGAGATCCTGAGGCAGTTAACGGCTTATCTCTGAGGTCACTTTATCCCTTAACCGCTTCTTTGTATGTTGCATGTATGGATGTATGCATGTGTGTATGTATGCATGTACGCATGTATGCATGTGCCTGCATGCATGTATGAACGTATGCGCGTATGTATGATGCATGCACGTATAAATGGATGTGCCTATCTACCTATCTATCTATCTATCTAGCTATCTATGTACCTATGCATGTGTGTATGTGTATATTTATCATGACCCGCTATGCTACACAACACAATGTAAGTATGTGTCCACGTGTGTATATGTGTGTGCAGGTGCATGCATGCATGTGTAGTTTGTTTGTGAATTTGCTTGTTCTTTTGTCTGCTTGCAAAGTGTTTTGTCCTGTTTGCTTTTGGTTTGTGCTTGTGTGTTTGCGTTAGTGTTAGTGTTAGTGTTAGTCTGTGTGTCTGTGTGGGTGGGTTGGGGTGGGGTGGGGTGGGGTGGGGTGGGTGGGGTGGGTGGGGTGGGGTGGGGTGGGGTGGGGTGGGGTGGGGTGGGGTGGGGGGTGTGGGTGGGGTGGGGGTGGGGGGGGGTGGGTGGGGTGGGGGTGGGGTGGGGTGGGGTGGGGTGGGGGTGGGGGTGGGGGGTGGGTGTGGGTGGGTGGGGTGGGGTGGGTGAATGGGTGCGTGCGTGTCTGCGTGCAGGCGAGGCGGGCGGGCGGGCGGGCGGGCGGGCGGGCGGGCGGGCGCGCGCGCACGCGCGCGTGCGTGCGAGCTTCTTGCATGCGTAGGAGTTGGCTGAGGAAGGTACTAGGAAAGTGCCACGCGCAAGATTCGTTGAAATACCTTGCACGCTTCCTACAGGCCTCTTGTTGGTTCTGCCCAGTTTCTTATCATGTCAAGGTTCTTGGCTTCCGCAAGGGCATACCTGTGGAGTCCTTGGACCTTGCAATCGGAGGTATGCACAACAATCTCAAGCACCGCCTTACAGGAGGGGCAAGCGCAAGCAAGACCCGCACCAGGTACCTGCAAAAACAAATCGCAACAGATCCTTGACCCCGAATGATTGCGGTACCCGATGCAGCCGACATTTCTGCGACAGAAAACGTGAGTAACCCGTCCGTGGAAAAACTGGCTTAGCCTTAGAATGAGAACAACACCGACCGGCAAAACATCTTTTCAGTGTACCCACTAGAGAGGAAACCGGTGGCCCAGGGTTCGGGAAACTGACCAAAGGTGTGGCTTCCACTACTCTTCGCAGCGGGAAGCAGCGGGAAGCACATGAACAACTGCCAGAATTGCGTGTTTCCCCAAAAAACGTGGGAACTCGGTTGCTTTCTGCTCCCCCTGCTAAAAGTTTGACTTTTAGTGGTTTAATACGGAAAACCCCCTAGTCCAAAGGGAACATTGGGGGGTGCTCCCGCAGCCGCCCACTCTTCACGCTGCTGAGCACTCCGGGCCCAATGGTCGGACTGCTGAACTCCTCGAAATGATACCTGCAACACCATAGGTGTCCTTTTAGGGCAAATAGATGGCCCTGTTAGATGATTAAGCCACCAGGTAAGCCAGCGAGGGCCATCTATATTTCTGCCAACAAACCCAAAAAGGACACCTATGTGCAACACACTATCCGTCGAGTCGACTTCGAGGATTTTTTGGAGAAACTTCACTCACGACTGACCCAAGAACGAGAAATCACAACAATGGCCTGTCAAGAGAAAATGGGAATGCAGTGAAGTGCCTCGTATTTGTATCTATATATGTTCCAGGCCGTGGACCCCCCCCCCTCCCCCCCCCCAACCCCCCCCCCTGTGGGGGTGGGGTGGTGGTGGTGGGGTGGTGGGGTGGTGGGGTGGTGGGGTGGTGGGGTGGTGGGGTGGTGGGGTGGTGGGGTGGTGGGGTGGTGGGGTGGGGGTGGGGGTGGGGGTGGTTGGGTGGTTGGGGTGTGGTTCGGAGTTGGTTTAGGCTTGGTGGGTTGGTTTAGGGTTGGTTCAGCGTTGGTTCAGGTGGGTTTGGGGTTTGGGCTGATTTAGGCGAAGGGTTGGGGTCAAGGAGGGGTTGCAGGGTGGTTTGGTTTAGGGTAGGATGTTGCGAGAGGTGCGGGGGTGTTGGTTCACGGGGTGAAAGGGGGAGTCTGGGACCGAAGCTGCAGGGCTCACACGGTACTGGACAGCATCCCCAGCATTGCCAGCATCATCCCCAAGATGCGGATGATGCGGGGGAGTGGGGGGACCATACCATTGGGGGGGGGGGGGGTACGTGGCCCAGGGTATATGTTATATATATATATATATTATTTATTGTGATTCTATAATCCTAAAGGAAACCTGCACTGTAGAAGGGTCCATGTATAATCTTTCCGAAAAGGTCGAAGGCTTCCTCTTCGGATCGATCCTGTGCTTTTGGGACCGACATGAGCTCTCCAAATGAACCGAAGCAAATGGGCTCGTCTCCATGGGTTTGTCAGACAGGAGAACCCCAAAAGGTTGGTTTCCCTTTGGTTTCCCGATTAAACCGAGCCCAAAAACAGAAAAGGTGCCCCCAACCAAGACATGCACGTCGGCAGCCATTCCACGTGCAGAAATTTCGCCAAGTCATTTGCTTGACACCTGAATCCCATCATCTCTACTCTTGGTATGGTAGCGAACAACTTTGTTTATATATTTTTGCAGACCCCCAGTAATTATTTATTTTTGCAGACCCCCCCCCCCCAGTAAAAATGAACAGAACCCAAAAACTAAAACAACAACAAAAACCATGCCAAGGACAGTGAAGCCATACCAATCGCTTTGGAATGGCGTGGCACATCCCCAAGCCGCAGGCTTGAAGGAACGCAGAGCGCCCCGCTCCATCTGCACCGATTTTTCTGAGTAAAGCTGTCCTCTAGCCTTCGTCCATATGAGTGCAGCTCGAAGTGCCGTGGGTCAAAAGTTAAAGCTAGGGGCCTTGTGGGCCCTGTCTTTCCACACGATCCAGCATGAAAGTAACCTTCTTGGGGTTCTCAGATTCGACACGTTGATATAGCCAACTGCAAAGGTCCCCCCTTCGTCGGACACATGAACTAGTGCTTCCAGGGAACACGCAGGCAATCCACAAACATAAACACCCTCAAGCCCAACCCTCGCACTGTGCCTTCCAAAATGGGGGGGGCGCTGTGGGGGGTGTGCTGTTGGTTGCTTAAACCGTCACCTTCAACCACGGGGTTCCGGATTGTAGAAGGCATCAATCCGGGACGTACCAAACTGTCGACCCCGGATTCAACCAAATAGTCTTGAGGCTCCCCAGAAGCTCCGGATCGCCTCTAAAAAGGTATCCACCCCCTATGAATCCAGGGCCAAATGGGCTTTGATCCTGGGTTCATTCAGCTCACCTGTTGATCGACGCAAGGCGACGTGCGGCACCCGGGGTCTTGTTTCGCGGTCTTCAGGTAGGCCATGTCCTGGATGACGTCCGCCTTCTTGTACCTCCAGCCCGCCTTCTTTCGATGGATCCGAAACAGAATCTACCGGGGTTTTGGGGACTTCAAAGAAATCACCATGGGTCACTTCGGGGTCAGCTCCCTCCCTTCCCTGAACCTTGCAAGAGTATGAGGCTCGGACCCGTTGATCTTCAGCTTGTACAAAAAGGTCGTCTTGCCAGCGCTCTCTGGGCCCAGCATCAGGAAGTGGTAGCTCTGGCGACATGCACCGGGCCACACAGCCAGAAACCTTCAAGGAGTGGACTCAGGGAAGATCAATAACAAGATCTGGAGCAAGGTGCAGATTCATGGATCCGGGACCAGGTTGGATCAAGCGGGAGTGGACATTTCCACAAGCCAAACATGGTACCTTATCTTGGGACCCCCCCCTGCTGAGAAAGTCTAAGCTTACGTTGGTCAATGACACCCCGCCCGTCCATTGCCTACCCCTAAGGTGTGCATGCTACTTGCTCGTTTTCGAGCACTACCTGTGTCTTTTCAAACATTCATCAACGTGGGCCAATGACCACGGCGACCACACATTGATTTTGGAAAGTACTCCCTCCCTCCCTCCCTCCCTCCCTCCCTCCCTCCGTATGCAAGAACCCCTCACGCTCTTAACAAGTAACCTGCTGTGATGCTCTCTGGCGAAGCTGATTTGTCAATCCGCTGCCCTCGTCTGCCTCGCAGAGTTCCACAATTCTGCTTTCAGAGGTCTCAACATGCGATTTACAAGCGAAAATATTGGCTGGCGTTGGAAGGGGAGCAACAATTCTTATTTTTTTAGCAGGTAAGTGGTTGGATTTCCCACTAAACTGCAATAAGCAAAAATGCAAAATGTTTCCCAACGACAATCATGAAATGACCCTAGGAGCTAACATCACTTTAAGCAAAAACGGGCATTCGGAGCTACCCAGCGCATGCCGGAGCTGCACAAGCAGGGCAGTCTTACGGACCAACGCCGATTACTGGCGGCTTAAGTGCAGCAAAACTGGGAATTGAAAGTATCATGCTGGCGTCCTTCCAAACCCTATCCCGAAAAAGGCTCTAGCTGTTACAGGCGGGGTTCCGCAGTTCCCGCATTTCTTGTTTACACGTGACCCCTTCAAAACTCCGATTGAACTTGCTTTTCCAAGAGGTGATATCTAGCTCACTGCCTGAGTGGATTGATCCAAAACATCCAAACGCTGCTTGCAAAACCGCCAAAATGGCTAGGTCCTCCAGCAGAGAGGTTAGAATAAGGGTACCAACTTTGTTCTGTAGTCTATTTTAGTAGGGGGGGTTACTCCCCCAAACAAGGTGTGAGAAAGGGCACTACTAGGGAACCCAGAAACAGTCCAGGAAAATCGGGAGGAGTGCCAAATCGAAGGCGAGAGATCCCCCTCGTGCGTGACGCGCCTGCTGGCCCCCTAGGAAGTTCAACCTGGCACCGGGGATCGGCTTGCACTTGAGTCAGGCTCCCCCGACTTTTTGCATGGACGTGGCAAGAGCTGGACACAAGATCATTCATCCAAGAACCCATCTCCGGGAATTGTTTTAGGAAGTTAGCCCAACTGGTTTTTGTGGGTTATCTCCTTCTTTTCAGGTTTTGGTGCCTCACCAAGTCCACACAAAAGCCACGCCCTTGCTAGTTGACTTTAGAGGGAAACCTTACCCCTAACAAATGATCTAACCGTCAGGGGAGGTCTGGGGCTATGATCAAAGGATGGTGCCCTGTTAGTATGGAACAGATCTATATAAGTTTTGGTGGTTTCCCCGACTATTCGGGTGTTGCGGCTTGATGCGAAGTCAACATGTATCATGACGTATCAGATAGATGATACCCAATGACTCGATGAATGACTCATGGAAGGGGCGCCTGACCACGAACACATCTCTGGCAACCTAACTTCGAGACGTGCGCAGCCATATAAACTCAGCTTGCGTTCGAAGACTGGGTTCTGACGAGTCACCAGTGACGAGTGACAATTCTGCTTACTTGAAAATGAATAGGGCATTCACCACATCCTCCACTTAAGCATCGCCCGAAGCCTGTTCCTACTCTGGATGGACGGATTAAATCCATTTCGCACCTCCTAAGAAACCCTGCAATGATAATTCCCCAGTAAATACCAACAAACGATATGGTTTCCCATAGTTTCAAGGTGCAGGATTTGGTGCTTCTACCTGGTTTCAGGATGGCAAGGCCCACAATTAGAGACCTTCACAGCCAGGCCCTGGATGGCGATGCCGTGGCTGGTTTTGTTTCAGGTTGGAACCACCAAATTGGCTTCGGGTTCCCTTCTGGCCTCCCTTGAAAACCAACCCCAAAAGGCTGCCCTCAAAAATCCTGACCCGCATGGGGTTTCAGGCGCTTGCCGCCTTCTGCTCTCCAGACGGACTGCGCCAGAAATGATCCACCAAGAAGGAAGCCGGCCGAGCAAAGTCTTATTTCAAGCTCGTTGGTTCAAATGGGGGGCATCCTAATCTTAATTCTTATTCGATATTGGAACACCACTACCATCTTGGTCTGAACAACCCAGTCAGAAGATTCAACCTATGAACAGTGGCACTTCCCAGCTAGCGCTGCTCAGGCAGTGGTGGACTCAAGCAATCTTCGGCTTACCGCGCGCGTCCTTGTACATTCGTCGACGGAAAGAAATGAATCATGGTCAAACTCTGTTGGGACATGGTCGTGGCTTAGTAGGAGCCTTTACATTGGCTGTCTACAACCCCTGGGTGTTTCATGACCATCCCTGGCAACCCAAATAAAGGGTCCAATTGAAACCACGGCACAAATGCTCGAAGGCTGATGTCCAAATGGTCCACGGGCAAAACTCAAAGGCGGGTCGTCCAGTTGACAAAAGGCCGCTGATACCTCAACAAATGAAAAACGGCTTGCATTGTGCTGCAAAGTAGATGCTTTACCCCAAAGGCGATCCCTTTCTTGGGGGGAAAACCCGAAGCGCGAAAAAAAGCAAAACACATCATCTAGGTCCTCCAGTAGAGAGCACCTAGAATAAGGGTGCCAGCTTTTTCTGTAGTCTAATTTGGGTAAAAGGGCACTACTGGGGCACCTAGTCATCAGCAGAAATCAGAGAGGTGTCAGTGGGCCACAGTTTCCGGTCCCTCCGGCCTGTCAGACACCGCCGACACACATTGAAACATGGCGCCGGCCCGTCCGCGGCTCCGCGGCTCCGTCCGTGTTGGAGCGGTCGGCTTTTGCGACAAGCCCCCGAAATGAACTACAAGTGGAAAATCCTGGGCTAGGCGCACATGACAAAAGGAACCAAGCGCAGTACGCGAACACTTTCGCACACGGTATTGACCTGGCATTGTTTGCCTCAAGCTTGGCCATCTGACGCAGTCTGCTGGCCCTAAAAGAGCAGAAATGAGCAGGCGAAGCTCCTCGCAACTTGCGGCGCGTGGGTGGGAGCTTTGCTCAGTCAACGCCTTGATCTCCCAATGTCGATCTAATCTAAACCAACTGGTGTTCAGAATTCTTGAAAGACAAACCGCACCAACACTCGCAAAAGAACAAGCATTCGCAAATACAAACAGGCAACCAAACACCACACAAAAACAGGACACGAACACCCCGCAACGCATACACAACCGCGCAAACACCTGCACGCAAACAAACGCCCACGCACGCATCCACCCACCCGCCCGCCCACCCGCCCACCCGCCCACCCCCACCAAGCCGCACACAAACGCAAACACAGGCTCACACTCTCACGCAAAACCAAAAACCAGACACAAACACACCCACGCGCGGACTCACTGACTCACTCAATGACTCACTGCTCACTGACTCACTGTCGCACTGGCTCACTGGCACACTCACTCACTCGTGCACATAGCACGGGAAACCATGGGGGAGGCCTCTTTGATGGTTTTATTCTATGGACCTATGGAACCTTCATACTTCGACCTGCGAAGAATTGATGAACTGCCAGGATTGGACGTCTTCATCTCTCAGTCTGCAGAACCACCAAAAGGACATCAGCCACATTTGGGGTCCTAACTTGTTTTTAACCAACCGAGCTGTCGGCGGGAAGACTGCTTTTCCAACAAGTTCAACAGGGATCCTTGCATTGTACACCTGAACATTGCCTTGTCAGTGGTGGTTTCCCCTTACATTGGCGGCAAAAGCCATGTTTCAAATGGGCAACATGTATCTTTTAAGGAGCCCTGTTCAAAGGAAGCTAACACCAAATATAAACTATATAAAAGGGTGTCTACAGAACTCTGCTCAAATGCACCTCAGCCTCTGCTCTGCTCAGCTGAGCACATGTTTTCACCGGAGCCCTTGGGCACGGCGGGGTTCGAAAGCATCGGCGGCCGCGGACCCAGCCTGTCATGTGCAAAATCTGGGGACCACTGACTTGGGGGAAGCGTTTTGAGGGTCTCGTGAGGTTGGTTTCAAGGGTGTCTCAACAAGCTGACACATTCCTTTCACAAACAGGATCCTCCGCACTCTGAAATGTACTTGTTGGAAAATGGCACATATGTTGGTTGGTTTAAGGGTTGCCTGCATATGTTGACACATTCCCAGACTGTTTGCCCTTGTTGCCGATTGGGGGTCACCTATTTTGACCCACCCACTGCAGCCAAAGGACCACCACAAAAACTCGACTGGCCTTTGGCCTCCCAACGTCCCAACGTCAGCTTGATGGTGGAGGAAACACTCCTTCTTCACAATGCGAAGCCGAAATACTGACCGAGGAAAGACAGAGGATCGGCCACTCACCAACTTGACAAATTGTTGCCTGAGTGGACTTGCCAAACAAATATAATATAAATGTTCACAATGGCTATGAATGCTGGTTACTAGGGACCGAGTGTTGGTGGACATGAACCTCCACCACAAGAGGAAACGGTGTCCACCAGAGGGTCCCCCATTGAAACTCTCACCCATTTTGGTTGCCGTTTACTAACATACTGGAAAACTCGTTCAATTCTTTCCAAGCATCCTTCTTTCCAACACAAACCACCAAATGCGCCCAGTTATTGAAAGGAACAAGGCCTCCCGGGTTCCCCCGACAAAGCAATAAATCATTAGACCAAACACAACAGCCTTCTGCATCTTTCAAGATCCATTCAGAAACGGGGTTCTCCACACTCTGAAGCGTACGTATTGGAAAATGGCATCAAACATATCTGTACAAGCACAATCTCCAAGGCATGCTGAGGTGTTTCCTGGAATGACCTAGCACAAGGTTGGCAACTCGGCATGACATCTAACGGTTGACCATGATGCAAGTCCCCCAAGGCAGGCCGACCCAGGTCAGGCGGAGCCTATGGTTTGCTTCATGTAGGTCCTCCAGTAAAAAGGTTAGAATAAGGGTACCCCTTTTTCTGTCGTCAATTTTAGCAGGGGAACGCTCCCCCAAAAAAGGGTAAAATTGCACTACTGGGGGACCTAGTTTCTTAGAAGCGGTTCACAGAACCTTTCCTGTGCATTTGGCCTCTCCTGATGTATGGAATCTGCAAAGGGGCCAGCAACAGGTACGGACCACAAGTGGACCTCCCACAAGGGCCCGAGAATGAACGATGAACTTGTTGGGATGATGAGCGGATGAGAAAACCGAAAGACGTCTCCGGTCACTTCGCGGTTTAGTTTCACAGGGATCCGGATGCATTATACACCTGAAAATGTGCAACTTGTAAATGGCGGTGTCCAACTTTCTTTTTGTGTGGAAAAAGCCATGTTTCAAAAGGTTGCAAAATGGAGATCTTGTAAGGAGCCCTGTCTCAAGGCCGCCTTTTCAAGGCTTCCTTCGTGGCTCGGGTCCCTAGACCTCTGAGCACTCGCCCCGTCTGTACCTTGGTTTCGGGGGAAACCAGCGGAATCCATGTGGATTTGGTTTTTCCTTTTGGGGGGTCTGCCTCGTTTTTGAGTGTGTGAAGGCTAGCTTCAAATCCGGCTGGCGCCAGAACTGGTTCCAAGAACCAACGACCACCGAGTCCCTTCAAAGCGAACTTGCTGCCTGACCCACAACTTCCATTTGACTGAGGGGAAACCCACAGACCAATCCTCCATTTGCGAATACGTCCCCGGAAAAAGAATACAATCTATGTCCAGTAGTCGATTCCCTCTAAGGTACCAACACAGGCCCATCAAACCAGATTCTTAAGCGTAAACATGGAAGCAATTGACTCCCTCCAACCTAAAAAACAAAAACAGCCGCAAATCTTTGGGGTCCTCAGTCCACGCGCTCCCCTCATTCTGTTCGCTTCCAGCCATCAACCCTTGAAGTTGTCAGCCCCACGCGCCCGCTGTGAGCCTGAGCGCCTCAAAAGGCCTCGCAAAGCTCCACCAGCTGCCGAGGAGTCAGCAGGCAGCTGCCCCCTGGGGTTTTTCGGTTTCAGCCGAGATCCCAATCGGTAGGTACCCAGCCGGGTTCTTATGGTGTTTTTGTGGGTGATCCCAATTGCCACTATTCTAGGGGTACCTGCCCAGTGGATCCCAATGGATCCCAATTGCCGTGGATCTAGTGGATCCTGTATGGCCTGTTGGGGCAAATAGATGAGTTTCCCTGGCAGATGATTAAACCACCAGACAAAAACCAGGGAAACCCATCTATTTTTCGACCAAAACAACCAAAAAGGACACCTATGGTCTTTTTGGTTTCAGCCCAGATCCCAATTGCCACAATAGGTACCCAGCGTGCGTTTGTTGGTGATCCCCATTCCCACTATTCTAGGGGTACCTGCCCAGTGGATCCCAATGGATCCCAATTGCTATACGTAGTGGATCTAGTGGATCCCCTATGGGGTACCTTCCTTGTGGTTGATTGGGTAACTCTTCCCAATCCTCAGTGCGATGGAAACTTCCATTCGTTCCAGGGATCCTTCTTTCTAGAAAACCTCCGGAAACCCAGGGAAAACGGCTGGTTTTTGAAAAGTCGATGGTTGAACAATTGGGGAAGCAACCAGCTATTTTCCGTTGGGTTCTCAAGAGTGGTTCACTTGGCCCCAAAAAGGTGATGTTACAACCCGGCGAAGTGAGAAGTATAGGAAGAAAAAAACCAGCTGCCTCCTCGATTTCGCGGATCGAGGTTTCCTGTCCATGCCGCGCCTATGTAGGCTTGCGTGCCGGGTAAAGCTGCCGCGACCTGGCCAAGAAGCGTCCCAAGCTTCCCGTTTGGGGTCGCACGTGCTCGCAAAATAGGAATCGGCACCCCTAAAACGGTGGCTTTCCTTTTGAAGTCCGCTAAAATGATTTCGCATTGGGTGTGTCTGTTGTAGTCAAACTTGGGTTGGTGCAACCCCAAAAGGAAGCCAACGATTCTTGGGGATCGATTTTGAGACGCGTAGTAAAAGTCCCCTAAAATGGGTTCCTTTAGTAGTGCCTTTAAAGTACCAACCAGAAGGGGTCTGCAATGTGGAGAAAGCAAGCAATGGAGTCTACACCCCACCCCCAACTCACGAGTCTCTCCTCGAAGGGTCTCAGCATCTGAATACTTGGGTACTTGACAACTCCCTTAGTTCCCCAAAAAGAAGGCTCTGCCCACGGGCTCCCGTGGTCAGTCAGACGGAAGTTCATGGTGTTTCTTTCTTTTTCAGGAGGCCGCACCGGAGCTTCACGACGCCCACCAATGGTCTTGGGGTTCAGGGTGCTGTTCAGGAATCTATGTTAAGACTAGGGACCACGTCTCGCCAGTGCAAAAAGGAAGCGGATCGACCATTCGTAGTGTTCACTCATGCTAGCCGCTGGCCTTTTGTTTGGTGATTGGCCATGGTGGTGTAAGCAAGCGGTGGTCAGTGTAGAAACCCAAATTTCAGCAGAGTCTTCTTGTCTTCCTGTGTGTGTGTGGCGGTTTTGGTCGTTGTTGATTTGCCGCCAGGCGGCGAATAAGAGGTTCACAGGCTGAGTGGCCTCATGAAAGGAGGACGTGAACCATTCCATGCCTTTCCATTCTCACACGAGAATTCGCCTGTAAGACAACACAGGGACGCCTTTTTTCTTTGCACAATGGGATAGCGAGGCAACACAAAGGCCTCCCCCCAGCTCCATGGCTTTAAAAATCACCCTACAATCAGCTGGTTTCGGTGTCTGTCCTTTTTTGTTTGGGAGCCACTAAGCTGCGGCCTAACCACCCAAAAAGCAGTGAAAAAGGCCTGAGGGGGCCCGTTGACCCCTGAAAACACCAACCCAAAAAGGGTTTACAGTTGAGGCATATTCCCATATAAGGAGGACAAAGGATACCCCCAAGAAAAAAACATCCCCAGGTCAACTCAGACACACATAAAGTCGAAACATCTAAGGACTGACATCCATCAGTTCCACATTGCTTGATTTTGGGGGCTATCAAAAGAAAACATGAGTACACCAAAACCATCCGCATGGCTTCAACCTCCGGACCCTCCTTTCCGACCACACATTCCTCGCGCCTCGTGGGTGGCCCTGATCTCGGGGAGAGTAATGCCACCAACCACGAAGATCACCACCTCTTCAAGCACCAAAAGGACGGATCAACCACGAGCGAGACGCCGGTTGACTCTGAGGGTTTCTCAAAATCGTCGACCCCTCTGTGATTTTAAATAGAAACCCAAAGGAACACCCTGAGAAACACGTGTGGTTTTGGAGGCTAGAGGTGCCCTTGTCAACTTGTCAACTTGGTCGAGGAAACCAAAAGGAACACACACACACACACATACATATTTTGAGGCCTTGCCCGTTCTGCTAGAGATCAAGTTGGCATTTCTCAGGTCTGCGTCTTGCAAATGAAGGTCATACACCACTGGGCATCCAAAGGAGTGACTGGGAAGGTGACACTTGTGGGATATTTGGTAGACTTCTGCTATGCTCAGGTAGACTTAGGTCATTGGATGATTGAATTGGGACACCAAAAGGAAAACGACAATTCTAGGGAAACCAAAAGGAAACCAACCACACCATAGGAGACCGATTCCCATTAGGGTGCCTTTTTGGGGGAACCCCTTTGTTAAGGGGGGGGTCAAAACGAACCAACCCATTTTAGGGGTTCCGATTCCTCTTTTACGACTTCCCAAAATATCTTTGGAAGAAACCTCCATGGAGAGCTATTGCTAAGGGCATGCTAACTTTCTTAGATTCCCTAATCATGTTGACGGATTCACAAACCGCTGGCAGATCAATAGAAAGCTCCCGGTGGGAATTGTCTTTTCTGGGCGACACCCTTAACAAGTCATGGTGATTGCGATTGAATCCGGGGTTCAACTTGTTCCAGGCCAGTGGACGTCCAAGAGAAAAGACACCGATTTTTGGGTGTGGTCCGTGTTAAGATTGAAGGCCCTTCCAGCAAAAATGGAAGAACATCACTCTGGGAAAAAGCTTGAAATCCAACTGAGCAGGGATCCTTACATTATACACCTGAACATTGCAACTTGTAAATGGTGGTGTCCAACTTTCTTTTGGTGTTGAACAAGCCATGTTTCAAATGGTTGCGAAATGGAGATCTTTTAAGGAGCCCCGAGGGAAGTGAGATATGGTGCCCTTGGAGCATGCGGATTCTCACGCTTCCGACTTTTCGGGAACACGCAACCATCCCAGGTGGCTGCCTGAGTGGGGATCCTAAACCCGCTTGGCGTCCTGCGGCAAGACACCGCCTTTCCTTCCCAGCGCTTCGCCTTTTTGGGTTTGTTATAAGCCAAAAGCAGCTCGCAAGACCATTTCGGGGAGTAAGACATGTGATGTTCGCCCTTCTTCCCCCGAGCCCCCCCCTTTGGATTCAAGAAAGCCCATCGCAGCGCGGCAAAAAGTTGGAGCCGAAGCGCGGAACTGTGGACGCGCCCGGCGAGGTTTTGGCTCCTGAAGGCCACAAACAACGTTGACCCCGAGGCGGCGGGGGGGGGGGGGCCTGGCAAGCGACCATATGGGGGGTGGGGGGGGCGTGTGATCAATATTCAGTTCGGCCCCAAACCGACCATGAGTAACTGTCTTCCCATTGTGTGGTGAAAGTCATCTTTTTTGGGCGGTGTCCTGAATTGTCATCTTGCATGTAAAGGACATGTTGATCAAACCCCAATATGGGTATCCCCGTAAACCAACCCCAAACAGGGTACCCTCACAAACAAACACATACACACATATAGTATCCTAACCTCAGCCTGTGAAGACCCCGGCAGTTAGTTAAACTAGTCCTGATGTTTTGGTCCACAGCTGCAACCTTTCAGGGGAGAACTGAAACCGTATCGTTTTGGCGTAGGTGGGGAACTCACCAAACAGAAAGAAGAAAAAGAAAAAAAAAGGAAAAAAAAACATGGTTTGGTGCCATCGAACAGCTGCGCCCGTTGCTCGTTCAGTGCATCCAGCTCACAAACAACTTGATGGCCCAGTGGTTTTGTGTTCCAGGGGCTCTTTGCGAAGAGGGTTCTGAACCCGTCCCTTCCGGGGGGCTTCCTTCAGGATGTTTGCTTGAAGGATGATGGCTGGGAGAGAGGTGTGGATCGAGGGTCGACATAATCCACGCGTTCCTCAGGATAGACTCACTGCAAACGTGTTGCTGGTTGAAAGGGAACATGGAGGAACACCAAGGCAAAACGATAAAAAAGGTAAGCTAAGTCTGGCAGTGCTGATTTAGTTTTCTCTGGTGTAGAAGCCAAACGAGCATACAAATCCAATGATTGAAGTCAGGCGCTGCAAACCAATGCCAATTCCATTGCTTGCTTGGCCCACTTTGGAAAGCAAACACAGTGCTTCCGGCTGTTGAAATAACATCAGCTTGACCAGGTATGCTATTTGACGATTCCGTATGACCATAACTATGAGTTGGGGTCCTTTCCGTTCAGCCTACTACCTTGGGACACGTAAGCCGTTCGGTGTACACCCTCAAAAAGCAACATGACAGTCTGACAGTCCTTGAGTGACATCCCTACTGTGGGTGGACAAAATCCTTGGAAACATGGGAAACCATTGGTTTGTTGGTATTTACAGGGGAATCATCATTCCAGGGAGTCTTAGGTGGTGCAGGATTCCGTCCATCCACAGTAGGTACCAAAGACTACAATAAATAATGTGATATACCAGGGGCCTGGATATTTCTAGATACACACCTGGGCCCTCCCGAGAAACACGACACAGTGCTTCCATCACCATAGAAGCAGTCGGGTTCATCATGGAAAGCCTAGAGTACCGTGTTTGCCCCCTCTACCAAAACAAGGTTTTGTTTAAATTCTAGCCTGTACTTGGGGTGTGTCATTTTTTGAGGCTACCCTTTTTGGGATTGCTTCAAAGAGAAACCAAAGGGAAACCACACTTGGGGGGTCAAAACAACAATACAGACCCATTTAGTGGCTCGGGAGGCCGTTGCCTCAACTCCGGGGAATGTTGCAGCCCCTTCAGATTTAAGCAAGTTGATCAGGAGGCATCAAACATCCGCAAATTGACAGAAACTCCCAAAAGTCCGTCCCCAAAAAACGAGAATGCTCTAAACATGGCGCTTGTTTACGGTTCCACGTTCAGCTGCAGAGCATCATCTTGGACTAAATCTCAATGCATCTTAAAGTTGCAACAAGGGACGAAGCAAGCTTTCAAAAGGTTGATCCCCTGCTTTCTTCACCCATCATGCTCTTCAGAAAAAAAAAAAAAAAAGAAAAAAACAGTTCACAAATGTTCCCTCGTCAGAAGAAGAAACAAAAGTTCCCCGCGGAAACGGACCAGGAGGGTATATCTAAACGGGCCGATTTTTTTTCTCGTCTGATCCGGGGGCTCCATGATTCCCTCTCTAAACATCACCCCATGCCCGCAAGGGGACTTGTGGGCGTGACTTCTTTGAGGGTACCCCTTGTTTTGGCGACCTCCGTTTTTTTGGGGGGGAGTGTTCCCCAAAACCACACACCCACATGAACCAGACAACATCTATTGTCTTCCCAGTTGACATGGGAACTGTGCCGTAGAGAACAGAAAGTAGACGTTGGCTTTGCTGTTGGGTGCGGGGTTCGACATTCTCCCGCGCCTGAGGCATCGGAAGTGGGCTGGGTCCAAATTGCCAGCCTGAGCGCGCCCGACCGTGCCCGACTGGTGTCCAACTTTGGGCATGTTGATCCCATATAAATCAACCCCAGTTTATTGATGTGGATGGACGAAATCCATTTTGCACCGCTTTGAAACCATAGCACACCATTGTTTGTTGTTATTTACAGGGGAAGCATCACCCCAGGGTGTTTTAGGTGGTGCAGGAATTCGTCCATCCACAGTACGGGGGTGTTCCTAATACAGTTGGGTTGATTAATATGGGGTCCACATTGCTCTTTTCAGGTTGGAATGATGGGAAACCAACACAATGCCGCCCCCCGATCGGTGACCTCGCTGCACGTGCGGTAAATTCGTTTTGCCTCCCTGAACTTTGCCTCCAGGGGCTTGCAAATATAGGGAACCCTTGTCGAAGGTCTCTTTGAAACAGATTGGCGCGCAAAAAACACGGCAAGGAGTGAATACTCTTTGGGCTGGTGGGATGAAACACACCCAGATGCTCAATCAAAAAGTGCTAGGTCACCTGGCTAGAGGTTGCTGCTGGGTGGCTAGACACAATGCTTCAAACGTGTGCAAGGTTAAAGATCCAACCAAACTCTAAACAGCCAGGAACGGAACCGCGACCTACTTCTGCCCTAGGGCGGTGTGCATCCTTGTGAGGGACATCTTCAACTAAAGCATGCCGATAAATGCTCTGACTGGCAATGGTTCTATGGCAATGGGGTGTCCCGAATGCAATGGTTCTATGACTGGCAATTCAATATACCTGAAGGCCCAGGGGTCGGCGCATGGTTAAGTTTTAAGTCCTTATCACATCACACATTGAGCGCATGCGGAGATATCCGACTCGACTCCCTGAAAATGATGTTCGTGCTGACTATCCTGAAAGAAAATCAGTCGGCCGGCTGCCGGCCAACCAACCGGCCAGCTCTAGTCCGCTTGGCTGTCCCGAGTGTTGTGATAGATACGTTTCTTAGACGCCCGGATTTTGAGCTGGACTTTTGGTTTTCTGTTGCAGCCACGGGGTTCCCTATACTCCCCCTTTCATCACCAAACCTGGGAAGCTTGCCTCAAACAGGCATTTCAACTTGATGTTTCAAAGCCAACACGGGAACTCTGAGCCAAAACCCCAATTGGGCCAGATGGATCCAACACCTGGCAAAAAGTGAAAAACATGTTGGCTGGTTGAAGGGGAAAATGAAGGAAGCCCAAAAAGGCAAGTGGTTGAAGGGGAAAATAAAGGAAGCCCAAAAAGGCAAAGGAGTCATAAAACGGTGAGATAAGTCTGGCAAGGTGGCCGAACCCCCCGAGCCTTTGGCTTGAATCGACTGGCAACAGGTTGTTCCGGAGCCTGCTGGAGAACAAAGTCAGAGAAGGCCGGAACGCGAGCACAACATTTCAAGCGAACAAAGGAGAACAAAGTTGGAGAACATCATCCAGGAACACGTGGGCCAAGAAAAGGTCATGCTTCCATGAACTGTTCTCCTTTCACAACTGCAGGCTAGGGAAAGCAAAAACAAAGGCCCTCCAGCCCTCATGAAAGGTTCCAGCCTTCTGAGACGCAAGGGTCTGGACAACTCTCACTCTGCATGTGGGGCCCTTCAAATATCACACAAATTGGTCTTTCGAAAAGGTGATGACTCAACCCAAAGCAAAAAGACAGGACAGCCTGTGCTGCCAAATTCTACACCCAAACACATCAAATGATACAAGGCTTTCCGGAAAGGCCAAGCAAAAATGGGAGTCTGCCCGTTCAGGCCCCCAACTTGCCAACTCGCCACCGGGAAACCCCCCCGCCTTGTTGGTATGTGTTGGGTTGATTTTGCTCTCTTGCCCAAAGCACCTGGAAATAAACAAGTCAACCTTGTGGGACCTCTACCAAAAATGGGACCAACAAAGGACATTTTACCAAAAGCTCAACAGCTCGGCTTGGAAGAGCTGAGTTTGGCCCCGAGTGCGCGGCCGCCAGGTCCTGAAGCAAAGTGGCGAGCCGCGGGCGCCAGCGCCAGAGCCGGGCTCGGCCTCGGAACCGGCGAAAGGGCCCTGAATTTGAGGCGCTGAACTTCCCCAATTGCGAAAGCAAATGCGAAGCACACTTGTGTATATAGAACCGCCAGCGTTCTTGCGCAGCCAAGTTGCGCACAAATATGGACAAGCGAGGTTAACAAGAGAAGCGAATGAGAGGAAAACCCACCATTTTGACACACCCGAATGGGGGGGGGGAAGCCCAGCGGAAAACCCATTTGGACACACCCCAATGGGAGGAAAGGCAGTTCTTTGGAGATGGTGCTTTGCAAGTGGGGAGTAGTTTTAAAGGGACACCTCCCATTTTAATGGGGGGCTCCTGTTGGGAGTGCCTTTTTAGGGAAGCCAACAGGAAACCACCCGTTCAAATTTGGGGGGTTCTTTCCTAATTAAGACAAAGCCAAGTGAAAACAATGCAGACATTCGCCAATGACTTGATTTGGATTCAAACCAGCCCTTAACCCGGCTCGAAAGCCTTGGGGCCCTGCGCCGCGGACTTGCGAGGCTGGTTCCCTGAAATCAATGAAAGTTTCTGCGGAAAAAAGGTGAGAAATCCAAAGTCGTGTCACACGCAGGAGGTACGGATGGACACCCGCGGAAACGCATGGCTTCTCCCGGCAAGCGCCAATCATGTGGAGTAGGTCAGGGGTTGTATTTGCCGGGCGTTTCTCAGATCTGCCCTTGTGGTTCAATTGTTTTAAGTTGGCGCTTGTTCAAGGGGAATGGTAGTCATTAAACGCCTGCGAATCGTCCTCTTCCACGCTTGGAAAGAATGCATTTGGCCACAAACCACTACCCGGCGTGGAGAAAAGGTGCAACCCTTAGCGATGATGTATAACAGTTGTTTAAATTGACCCGCTCTTGTCTAATGTTGATATGGCTGCGAGTCAAAACTAGGTACCCAAAATGGCTCCCTGGTAAAGGGAAACAAGGACTAAACCTGTGGTCCGATTCCTCGCGGTTTAGTTTTACTCATACCCGCCTAAACCTTCTTGTGTTTTGAACATTTGGGGGTGTCTTTTCATGAGTTTTTTTTTTTTTTTTTGGGGGGGGGGGGGTGTCTGATGTTGATATCCACCAGCCAATGGAAAACCTCAAAGGCCGATGACTGGACGGTGCTGAGGCGGGCGCGCGGGCTGTCGCCTGTGGGCAGGTCTCAAGTTTTGCTTTCGCATTAGGTTCTGACAGAAGTTTTCAACATCTGGTTTCCCTTTGGTTTGAAAAAAAGCACCCTCATAAAAGGGCACCACTTTAACACCACCCAAAAAAAGGTACCCTCATAAAAGGACACCCCCAAACGTTCAAAACACAAAAAGGTTTAGGTGGTTTGGCCATGGGTCAGAATCCAAAGCCTGTACCCCCAGTGAATGGGACCCAATCCAAGCACTAAAATAGGTTCTAAAATGGGTGGTGAATTCACCTACCCCAAACTGGTACCATTGGTCTTGACCCACAGCCAGGTGATTTCACTTTAAAACCCCCAACAAAGGTACCCTCATAAAAAGACACCCCCAAATGTTCAAAACTCCTAAGCACCGAGCTCTGTTCTGATGGCGTGGCTGTTCAAACACAGGCCAAATTTCAAGTGTCTCGCAGAAAAATAGGAACACACAAACCCAATTGGGCTCCCTACCTTCGTGGAGCCCGCGATCGAATCCGATCCCCCTTCCCAGCCGTTATAGGTCATAGTCTGCCCTGATATGGGCATGTTGCTTTTTTCTGGGGACCCCCCGCCCAAAAAAAAAATGGCTGGCCTTTCCTTTTGGCTTCAGGAACCAAAAAGGGTACCTTCTGCAAAAAAGACACACCCACATATGGCACCTCCAAATCGATCTTCACAATGGCTCTCGGAACAAAGAGGCCATTCCAGGGTTTGCTAGGGATCCTTACATCATATTTGCCTTGTAAATGGTGGTTTCCCTGTATTTTGGTGGAAAAAACAATCTTCAAATGGGCAAAATGTATCTTTTAAGGAGCCCTGTTTGCCTTCATAGATTTCCTTCAAGGCTGCACCAACCTAAGGAGAAGATTCAGGGGCACGTGCGGCACGTACCGTGATTCCCCTTCCTTGCACAGCAAGTCACGATATGTCTAGCGCTGCTGGGCCAGGTGTACCTCTAAGAGGACTCTTGCATTTGTTTTATTTAGTATGAAGAAGGGGTGCTCCCTGGGATGTAGTTTTAGCGCTCCTGGCATGAGGATTGCTCGATTCTGAAGATCCGCACCCACCTGGCATGGGGGTCACCGGATTTCCCCCCAAATCAAAAGTTGATCAGTGTCCCTTGACACCGCCTGCCTGCCACGTTTGGAGGTTGAAGGGAGAAAAATGGCTCAAGAAGCAAGCAACAAATCAGTTCGACCCTGTGCTCATGGCTGTGTCCACCATCCCCGGCCTGTGAAGCTGTCGCCCTGTCACCGATCGATCTCTCGAACATGGCGAGGGGGGCTCCGTCTTAGGGGGCCCCCAAAAAATGGCCCATGGCATCGGTGCTCTCCTCCTGGTGTCCCTTTGAAACCACCAAAAAAAACGGGTGCCAACTCCAAAAAGACGCACTTTCAACCACCAGACACCGGGGGGTACCAACTCCCAAAAAAAATGAGCGAGCCGCCCATATTTGGGCTGACAGGAGACCAAAGGAAGGCAAAAGGACACCAAACCTCCGGGTGAACAAATCCACACCAAAGCCGCATGGGGCAAAGGAAAACATCGCCGCCGGAAAATCTGCACGAGTCAATGATCACGCCGCCGGGTTGACCCATTGCCAACATGATCTGAGCTGGAGATCTCTTTGACGGAAATGTCTGATTCTGCAGATAAACATACCCTCCCACCAACTAACTAACGTGGAAGTGCAAAGCTTCCAAGAGGAAAGTAGTCTTTCTACAGGGGTCTGTGCACTTCCATGGGTTAACACCCAACACACCATAATCTTTAGATCGACATTCTTTGAAAGGACCCCGCACAAAGTGTGAAACCCTTAGGTATCCTTTCGGCAAAATGCTCGGCCTTGGTACATGGCATAAAACTCATCTGAACCAATGCCAGCTATTTCTAACCAAACTAACCACCCGAAAATGGACACCTATGGTCGAACCTGGCTGGGCCTCCACCACACCCATAGGATGCTGACGGATCAAGCCGTGGATGCGTGTCTTCTGAGTTGGTACCCCCTTTTGCTTGGTTTGAAACGGGAATCGAAAGGAAAACCGGATTCGAACAACTTGCTGTGAGATTCAATCTGAGACGGTTTGTCGGAGAGTGAGTTCAAACACGGGGATTGTGTTGGAATTGACCTTGGACAGCTTCAAAGGGAAACAACGGCTTCAGCCGCAAGAAAAGCCCCAATTCTGGTTGCGCGGCTTGAGCATCATCAGAAACACTTAACATCACTTGACCAAAAGCCCGCTCCATCTCCGTGTGTGTGTTTGTGTTTCTTGAGGCCTTTTTTGTTGGGTGGTAACGGAAAACCCACCGTTTTGGGGGGGTGCCAAGTGCTACTTGCTTTCCGACTGAGCAGAACATCCAAGCAACCGCCTAACCCAAGGCTCAGGATTTCCGCTGGCGCAGGCCGGCGCGCCCAGTCCAAAACTGAACATGTCCGAGGCTCCATCGCAGGACATCAACCACGTGCGCCAGCCCTTCCCCGCCCCAAAAGCGCCCCGTAAAACTGACCAACGCCTCATACCCAACCTCGAACACCCCAGCCTCCACGCCAGAGCCCGCACCTCGGTGCTTCAGCTGAATTTGGCGGCAAGCGCAGGTGGGCAAATTCCCCTCCTTCCAACCACGGACGGGGACAGAGAGGTTTGTCAAAAGGATAATAATCTTCCAGAACCAGTTTCCGGTGTAGCCGAAACTTCTCTGGACCCATATCTCAGATGTTGCGCAAGAGTTTCTCCCATTGAACCGCAGCCAGCTGGCGCATGCTCACTCGGGCACTGCAAAAATGGGGGCGAAATGGGGCAGCTCGTGTCTAGTAAAGACACAAAAAGCGACAAACCCTCTGGGCCCGAAACGGGATCGCCGCATCCGCCTCTCACGGCCCTGCGCATCCGCTGAGTGCTCGGTGATCCAACTGAAGGTTTAGGGGGTGGCCGGAATCCGCTGTGTGTGTGTGTGTGTGTGTGTGTGTGTGTGTGTGTGTGTGTGTGTGTGTGTGTGTGTGTGTGTGTGTGTGTGTGTGTGTGTGTGTGTGTGTGTGTGTGTGTGTGTGTGTGTGTGTGTGTGTGTGTGTGTGTGTGTGTGTGTGTGTGTGTGTGTGTGTGTGTGTGTGTGTGTGTGTGTGTGTGTGTGTGTGTGTGTGTGTGTGTGTGTGTGTGTGTGTGTGTGTGTGTGTGTGTGTGTGTGTGTGTGTGTGTGTGTGTGTGTGTGTGTGTGTGTGTGTGTGTGTGTGTGTGTGTGTGTGTGTGTGTGTGTGTGTGTGTGTGTGTGTGTGTGTGTGTGTGTGTGTGTGTGTGTGTGTGTGTGTGTGTGTGTGTGTGTGTGTGTGTGTGTGTGTGTGTGTGTGTGTGTGTGTGTGTGTGTGTGTGTGTGTGTGTGTGTGTGTGTGTGTGTGTGTGTGTGTGTGTGTGTGTGTGTGTGTGTGTGTGTGTGTGTGTGTGTGTGTGTGTGTGTGTGTGTGTGTGTGTGTGTGTGTGTGTGTGTGTGTGTGTGTGTGTGTGTGTGTGTGTGTGTGTGTGTGTGTGTGTGTGTGTGTGTGTGTGTGTGTGTGTGTGTGTGTGTGTGTGTGTGTGTGTGTGTGTGTGTGTGTGTGTGTGTGTGTGTGTGTGTGTGTGTGTGTGTGTGTGTGTGTGTGTGTGTGTGTGTGTGTGTGTGTGTGTGTGTGTGTGTGTGTGTGTGTGTGTGTGTGTGTGTGTGTGTGTGTGTGTGTGTGTGTGTTGTGTGTGTGTGTGTGTGTGTGTGTGTGTGTGTGTGTGTGTGTGTGTGTGTGTGTGTGTGTGTGTGTGTGTGTGTGTGTGTGTGTGTGTGTGTGTGTGTGTGTGTGTGTGTGTGTGTGTGTGTGTGTGTGTGTGTGTGTGTGTGTGTGTGTGTGTGTGTGTGTGTGTGTTTGTGTTGAATGAGGAGTCTGGAGGATTTGCGGGAGCTTTCCTGCTGGCTTCAAGCTTGGGACATTGCATTCCATGGTCTACAGTATTTAGCACCCAGCCTACCCACGAAATGGAAGTCCAGTTCATTCGCTCTAGTATTTCGGGCAAACAGCTACTCCAAAAAAGGTACAAACAATCATGGAAGGTTGAACCACACTTGGAAACGTTTGGAACGCAGGAAAACACACGTAAATCAGGTCACATTGTCCCCGGAAGAACCTGGCTGGGACTACGCAGCTTGTCCCCTCGCAGAGGGGTCCGGATCGCCTTTCAAAGGGGGGCACCCTTTGAGCAAATCAACCATGGGCTTGTCATTCCTGAGTTGCAGATCTCGTTTTGCAACTTGCGCTCTGCCGTGGTCCCAAAGTGGGAGGCAACTATTAAAGGCCTTTGAGCCAGAAGCATGTACAAACAGGCAGACAGGCAGACAGGCAGAAAAAGTTCATTGCGGGTCTAGGTTCATTGCAGAAAAAGTTTGGACGCAACATTCAGGCCAAGGGCTCAACGTGTGGCCAAGGGCCAGGGCGCATTTTACTGGTGGCAAACCTATAGCTATGACTGGATCCCCCCTACCTTAGGGGGGAGGGGGTAGGGGGTCCCCCTGCCCCCGATTCCATTTGTCAAGCGTCTTCCCCATGAAAGGGAAAATTGGTTACTACAAATGGAGATCTCCAGGACGGAAAACCGAAAGGAAAAGCATCCAAATTGGGGGGTGCCTAGCTGGACACACATATATATATATATATATATACGTATGAGGAGAAAGTCGGGACGCACAGAAACCTCACACACTTGCTTCGGCTGAAAGTTGGTCGTAACTTCCTGGGTCATAACTAAATTATGAACACTATCTGCATAAATACACAAGCATAATGCATATAATTTAACAAATTCAACAAATAATTTAGAACTTATACTTTGAGAATATTAAACAAATTATTATGTGTGTTTCATTCAATTCAATAATTATACGAGTAGTATAATTATTTGACTTTCACAACCAATTTATTTAGTCGTTGACTCTGCTCTTCCTATTTCAAACTAGTGCCGATGTGTGCCGCGAAGTCATGAACGGCTCAATGACAAACGTCATCACGAATGACAAGCTCTAACTCTTTGGTGTCAAATATGACGGCGTGCACAATGAAACGGCCAAGAGTAGCAGGGTGCTGCTAAACAAAACATACACTACAGATCGCTGCCAGCTTGTCTGTTGCTCACATGAGCTCGCCCCCGCCTCCCAAAAAAATAGGTACCCCAAACAAAATGACAGAACCGTGAGCATTTCTCCTTCTCCCAGACGGAACCCCAGAGTAATAAACCCTGGTTGATGAAAAGGGGTGTCCTGAAGTGGGGATTCATCCCTTGAACGGGACGCGTCCGGGGTCAACATCAAATGACTAAGGAACGAGACTCGATCCTTTGAATTTCGAAACCCGAAACCGCCTCGCGGAGTCTTCGCAGCGCCTCTGGTTCGAATGTCCAGTGCTGGATGTGTGCTTTTCTGCTTTTAGCCAGACCGAAAAAGGAGACCTATTGAAAATACATGGTGATGCCACTGGTCAATGAGTAGAACCAAGCTGAAACCAGTGCAATCTGGGTTTAACCAGACCACGACTATGGATATCAATACCCAATGTTACACCAGAAACCGAGAGCGCACTACCCAAAACAGATATTTGCCAACCTCCCAAGCTGATGGCCCATCCAAAATCGACGGGAAATAAGGGTTCACACAAAAGGTTCATATCTGGATGTATACATTCAGCCTTTCAAAGACATGAAGACGATACCCTCCAGGCGGCCTGTTTCTATTTCCCCTGTCCGCTTTCTATCGCGACATGGTCAAGGAGCATCCCTGGCCCAGCACCCCTCTGCTCCAAAACTCACTAGCCTTCGGACCCCGTAGCTGTCGCTGACAGGGGGGGGGGATGACCAGCGGCTTGTTCGGAAAAATACATTTGGACGGTCTCTGGTTGCTCAACTTTTATGGGGTCGCAAAATCAAAAGGTGAAACTTTGAAACATGCCTGGCTGCGTGCTAAAGCGGGCATTGAATCCCATCCATAGGCTTCTCGTGGTCCCAAAAAGGCAACGTCACCAGACATGGCATGGCACCTTTTGCGAAGGGATGGTTTTGGAGGGGGCAGCATGCGAGTAGCACAAGCTCTAAAAGGTCCATGGTAGTCGTAGAATATCTTGTTGCAAATGTGATTGCCCTGGGTCTGTCTCAAAATAGGGGAACCCACAAATAGGTGATTTTTTTGGCCTACCTTTAAACCATCCCAAACAGGGTACCCTCAAAAAGACACACCCACCGCGCAAACCACCCGAGCAAGGAACCTTGGGCGCCGCAAGGTCGCAAACCCGAACCCGGGGCTTGCGAGAAGCCGCTTTCACAAACCATCCGTTCGCGGGATTTCCGAGATGCCATGCGCACTTGCCCAAAGGACCCAGAAATAAAAGGTTAACCTTTTGGGGCCATGACTCCAACTAGACCAAACAGGAGAAACCAAAAGGTCAAAAGGTCGATTCGCTTTGGGCAACTGAGCACCCCAAGTAGGAAGTCTGCGTCTGGACCTCGAGGAAGCGGAAATTATTTTCAACTTCATGGGACGCGAAAAGCTCTGCCAGTGCTGTCTCAAAATGCGTCCTTTCAACGGGTTTTCCTGCAACCCAAACAAGATCTCAAAAAGATCACGGCCAAAAGGTTCCAAAAGGCCACAGGATGTTCCAGCTCAGTGTGTCCGGCACCCCAAGAGGCTTTTCTCAAGCGGGGACCCGCACTAGAGAAGCCCGAACAGTCTAACCACTTCAAGGTTAGAACTATGACTTAAGGACTTTCAACTGGACATGTAAAACTACAAAAACTGGGAGCTTCAGGACATTGAAACCCGGAAACACCCAAAAAAAAACGCCCCTTTAAAAAAAGAAGAGAAAAGGACAGCCCCCATAGGAGCCGGCAAAATCCTCCACCTCATGTTTTTCTCTTCGACGCTTGGCCGAACGGGTGGTGTTCGCCACGTCCGGCGGCTCTGCGCGCCGCGCCTCCGCCCAGGTCCGCAGCTTCCGCGCCGCCGCGCGGCCCAGGTGCTGGGCCTCGAGCTGCCGACGGCTCGACGGCTCGGCGCCACGGGTCGGCGGCTGGCCCCGGGGCCCAAGGGCCATGCGATGGGACAGGTGAGCTGCAGACTACTTGGTGGACGTCGGAGGAGCAACAATTCTCAAGCTTTAGCAGTTCAGTGGTTGGATTGCAACCATTAAGCCACAAGCAAAAATGTAAAATGGTTCCCAACGATAACCATGACTATGCATGTTTCCCCCGGCAAGACAAATTGAGTGGCCCCTGGTTTCTGTGGTTGACATTTGGCTGTGGCTCAAAATTAAACAGGGGGGGCAAACCGCAGGTTTTGGTCCATGGTTCCACTTAACAGGGCAAGCCATTTTGGAATTCCGGTTGTTTGAGCCACTTCCATTTTGCTTTTTTGCCCCCTGAAGAAATGGAAAAATATGTGCAATAGTGAAATCGATTGGCAAAATAAAAAATGCTCTTAAGCAAATGGAAGACCAAGCCCCAGATTTCGAGTTCCAAATTGCTGGAAGACCGGGGGCCGCAAAGCCCAACAATCCGGTCCAAAGCGCAGTTTTTCTTGGGGGCCACCAAAAGAAAGAGGGGGAAGGTTGAACTCATAGTGAAATTAATCCCAATTTATGAAAATGGAGTGTTTTTGGCTGAAATGTGGGGAATCAGACCACTTCGTCGATATGGGGTCAACATTCAGCTGATATTTGGTAGCACCAATGCTTGTTTACGGAGGATTCAGAGCACCCCACAACCCAATTCTAGCGTTAAGCTCTGAAAGCCACTTGTAGTGACATTCTCACCTTGGTAAGAACAGAAAAACTGATTTCCATGAGGTCCAAAACCCAATTCTGACACAAAACGTACACCAACTTTGGCATTTGGAGAAAACCAAATTGGGGGGGGGGGGGGGTTAGGGGTGGGTGCTATCAAAGGGTGTCCCGCATTTGATCAAGTATGCTTGCAGCCACAAAAAGCAAAGCCCGGCCCATGTCGATTTTCGCAGGGTTCTCGGAAGGCGTTGGCTCACCCTTCTGGAAGAAGACTTTAGGAAGGCCCATTTGCTCAGTAATCTAGGGGTACCTTCCCCATTCTTTCCAGGGATCCTTCTTTTCAGGAAACCATGAAACCATCAAAAACCCGAGGGAAACAGGTCCGGTTTTTGAACAGAACGATGATTGAAAAGAATGGACAAGGAATCAACCCCTAGAAGTAAGGTCCCCAAAAACCACGCCATACGAACTCGAGTGGACGCGCAAGGGAGCTCACCCAGCGCATCGCCGGAGGCGGTGGATTGGAATAACGGGCCCTAGTGCTCATCCCAAGGGGGGCTCATCCCCAACTTGTGGGGGATCCTATTCAAGCTACTACTGTGGATGGACGAAATCCATTTCGCACCACCTAAGAAACCCTGGGGTGATATTTTCCCCTGTAAATACATACAGACAAACCATATGGTTTCCTATGGTTTCAAAGTGGTGCAAAATGGATTTCGCAACCACCCACCGTAGGGATGACCATTTTTCAGGCGATTCAAGCCATAAAATGGGCCGTTCGAAATAGGGAGGGAAAAAAGTGGGAGGATCCCAAGTCCTAACCGCAACCCGTAGTGGGACAGCACTACAAGGGAACCCCACCAGGTGGCAAAATAATTAAGGGTTTATTTTGAATAACCAAAACAAAAAGAACTGCCCCCCCCTGAACAACTTCCAGATTCCAGCTTGCTGGCTCTCAGATTCAATGGAAGGCGGCCATGAATGATCCATCCCGTTGCGATCAAAGCGGATCCCGAACCGAGTCCCAGCTTTGCAACAAGCAACTCGGCCAAATCCCAGTGATCCACGTGTACCCTTTTGTGCTTCCCTAACAACCCAACAATTTGAAACAGTTTATTGAGATGGCCTGCCCGCTTTCCGGCGCTGGCGCTGCGCTCGGGGGGGGGGGGTTGGCATCCCTCTTGCAAAGGACGTCCACGTCCATTGCTTGGACAAAGACTATCTCAAAAGATTCTCAAAAGAACAACCGAGCCACAATCAAAACCCGGATAGATGAAGGTTAGTAGGAACAATCCCAACCATAAATAGCTGCGCCCGCCTTCTTAATTCTTGAAGCATGGTTCTGGGTCGACTATGTTAGTACCGGGTGTTGAGCAAGTGACTCAACTGCTTTTCGAATCTTTCGGGGCACGGGGTTGGATTCCTTCTTACCCCTTAAAACTCCAAGCCCTGGGGAAGTCAATCTTTTACAGACATATAGCCCATGTTACCCAAAAAAATACGAAAAGTTGTGTTTTTAAGAGGTAAGGATTCCTTTTTGGGCGAATTTTTTGGAGTCGCCCCCGGGCCAAAACCGAGACGCGGCTTTCGGCGGAGGCTTTTTTTCTCGGGCCCTGGCCGCGAGGTCCTGCAGCCGCGCGCTTTGACCTGCGACTTGGGCGCCAATGGATTCCATTCCGTCGGGGCCAACGGTGTGTGTGTGTGTGTGTCCTTTCATCTCTACTCTTGGTATGGGCTGGCTAAAAACCGACTGTTTTTTTGCAGACCCCCCAGTAAAAATGAACCTTAAAAAAAAAAAACATGCCAAGAACAGTGGAGTTTTAGAGAGCGGGAGTAAGGGTGCATCCATCTATGCCAAGGTGTAAAAAAAAGGCTGATTTCAAAAACACAGGCCCCATGGCGGGCCGCTCTCCTCTTTTCAGGGTGGACCCCAAAAATGGCTTCGGTTTTTGCCTTTTGGTTTCCCTTTACAACCACAAAAAAAGGGTGTACAACCTGTAATGGTGGGCAATGGATGAAATTTTGGTTTCCCTTCACAACCTGCACACTCAAGAAAGGACACCGCACCCAAATCAGCTTCCTACCGCGTCAAGCCAATCTTCGGACCTGGTTCTCCGCCTCACCGTTGAGCCTCCGAGACGCCAAAAATTCTCCGATTCCACTCCTGGCACCCATGTGCAACAGGGATCCGGATGCATACACCTGAACATTGCAACTTGTAAATGGTGGTGTCCATTTATTTTGGTGGAAAATGCAACATGTTTCAAATGGTTGCAAAATGTATATTTTAAGGAGCCCTGTGCAACAGAAAGGGGAAGCCCAACAAAAACACAATGCCATCCAAAACTAACCTTGCCATATTTCCAAGGCTGGCCTTTCGGATTTCGGACCCCTCCAAAAAGTTAAGGCACGTGGGAGAGTCTCAAGTTGGGTGTGTTGTAAAAAAGGGAACCAACTAAAACGGTTGGTTTCCGTTTGGTGTCCGCTTCAAACCACCAACAACAAAGGGGACCATCAACACAGACATATTCAGACGGGATTCGGACCCCCCTCTTAAATTGAGAAGGGAAATCAATTTTCGGGCTCCGAATTGAGAACCACCCCTTCAATAAAGAGTTCAACACCTGTAGCCCCTGCAAATCGCTAGGCTCCATGGGACGCCGATTCCTATTTGGGTGTGGTTTCTTTTTTCGAGGTACTGACTTGTTTTGTAGTTTTAAATGGAACTTAAAACGCAAAACCGAGGGATCCACTCCCTAAAAACAAGACGAGCCACCCAACCCCCCAGTTTGCCGCCGGGCCTTCCTCCGTCAGCTGCGCCTTGCAAAACCGAGCTGAAAAGCGCGACTGAACCGTGAAAATGTTCCGCTGATTGGCTAAACCAAGATAGGGGGGGGGAGGGAGCGGGGGGAAGGTGGGAGGGGGGGAGGGGGAGGGGGAGGGGGACGGAGGGGGGGGGGGAGGGGGGGAAGGTGGGAGGGGGAGGGGGTGAGGAGGGGGGGAGGGGGTGAGGAGGGAGGGGGTGAGGAGGGGGGAGGGGGGGGGATATTAATCATGTAAAAATTGAATAAACTCGCATACTGGCTTGGCTCGTCTAGGAAACTCGCACAATGGTGAACATACTTCAAAAACCAAATCCTGGTGAATTTTCGTCGACCCTTTGGTGGACATCATTTCGGGGATCCACCAACCGATGCCTACTCAAATTCGCAGCCACGCAGCGCCATGCAGCTGGAGCACTGCTCCCATTGGCTCCCATTGCTATACTTCCATTTGCTTAAGCCCCGCGGAAAAAGCAAAATGTGTCCAATAGTGATAGATTCCCTTTAAAACCAACAGGGAAAAATAAAAGATCTTCTTAAGCGACTGGAAGTATGTGGCTCTGAATCAGAATTGTCCAGTCTTCCTCGCAAGATTGGGACACAAGGAGAACCCACATTCAGTCAGCAACACGCAGACCGTGCATGCCTCACGTGCACCACGAAATCTGCAACGAGTCTGTGAAAATATGGCCAAGCCCTCCCTTTGGACATCCCGTGAAAATACAAATTAGCCTGTGGCCAGTATCGGCACATGTCTGATTGTTGCTTCTCCCTGCCACCACCATCTCGCTTCATCTCGCTATTGTCAACGTGTGCACTGCAAGAAGTGCCCAAAACCATCCTCAATCCAGTCGCTCGTGCTGCATGCTCCCGCATGTCGTGGCTCAGCTTGTCTCTTCCTAGCTGGCTGGCCACAGGTTTCGCATCAAGCGGCAAGCTCGGCTGCTAGGTCCGCAATTGGCCTGGTGCCATCAGGAATTGTGCATAGGGCAAAGGCCCCGCTGCCGGCACCGGCCGCAACTACTCCCGCATGGCGAAGAATCAAAGCACGCAACGCAGCGATCTAACACCGCCTGAACGCACGCTTTGTCCAACCGCAAAATGCCGAATCTCAAGCCATCGTAGCTTCCCCCTGCAACCAACCTGCGTGTTTGCGCGGAACTGGGCTCGGTGGGACACTGGCCAAGCCCTCCCTTTGGTCGCCATGAGGAAAACGCTTGGCCTTGTAAACTGGCCACGCCTAGACACTTTCGAACACTTCCCCTCTTTACACAAGGTGCATTTCAAAACGTCTTGGGCGTCCTACTTTGCTGTGAGGGATCATTACTTCAAGGATCGATGATCTGTCCTTCCTCAATCCCATTGCTCATGTTGCATACATTCCGTCACACCTTTTTCCGTGCTTGCCAATTCTTTGCAACACCACAACACCGGTGTTTACCTTTTGAGACCCCTGTTTGGGACATCAAGGCACTTGGAGGTCAAACATGCGCCAAGCATGGCCAGTTCGAAACATGAAGCCACATTATCACAACACATTCCTCCCCCAACAGGACTTCTGCACTGGGCATATGTCAAAATTGGGCGACGATGGCGACGCTCAAAATTGTAGTTTCCCAATTTGGCCCCCATACCCAAAGATGCGTCGGGCACCCTCACACACAAGAGAGAGACACAAAACCACAGGCACCCAGACCCAAACGCGCGCGCGCGCAAACACACACTTTTTGGGGCCGCGCCGAAACATGATCTCTTCCCCTTGCTTTCGAAACGGAAAAAAAGAGAAAAAAAACGAAATAACTAAATGTGTATATATATATATCTATACATATGGAAAACAACAAAAAACCAACTATATACATATGGAAACAAAAAACAAAAACCAAAACGAACAAAAGAAACTAAATTGGCGGCGCCTCGCAGAGCAGCATCAGCCGGAGCTTCAGCGACAGGTCCAGCGCCGGGTCCTGGCAAGCGGCTGGGCGCGCGCCGGGTTTCGGAAAAACCGCCTTGGGGAGATTCGGTTTTTGGAACAAGCGCTGAGTCATGAAAGGAATTCAAATCTAAGAAACCGACTATAGGAAGTTCTATAAAAAATCCCTGACTGTGGTGGGTAGTTGGCTTCGTTCCTGTAGAAATTCCTGTAGCTCATGACTGGGTTGCCCGTTTTCAGATCCCCCGCTAAAAGTGATGAAAACTTTAGTGGGTTAAATGGAAACTTGGCTGGGAGCCACCAAGATGAAAGGTATTAAAATGGTCTACCCAGAACCATGCTTCAAGAATTGAGAAGGCGGCCGCTATTTATGGTTGGGATTGTCTCTTACTAACCTTCATCACCCGGGTTTGATTGTGGATCAGCTGGGTCCACCCCACCACTAGATATGAAAATGCACTCACCCCCAAACCACCCCCGGAGATTGCATGGCCGATACCGCATAGCCACGTCAAGGGTGTATGGGTTTCCATCTTGTGAAGCCCAATCACCCGCCTTCACTATGGGATCCCAATCCAAGAAAGCGACCTTCACTATGGATGAGGTAATCTCCCTGCCCAAAAAGGGATCGAAGCGACACTCGACAGATCTCGACAGGTTGCTGGTAGCCAGTCAACACGCTCTTCTGAAAAGATGCAGTCGGGTGAAAGTACATGGCACAATTCCCTGCTCAGCTATGATTATCCCCTAACTTGCTGACAAGAGTGAGTTGCGCCATTTGCTTTCGCACTGGTGTAAAGGCCAATTGTTCCTGGTGAATTAGGATAACTGACCAACCTAGAATGACCACACTCAGTGAACCTCAACATGTAAAATCGTTCAGATGGTTTGGATTTGGTGGTTTGGATTTGGTGGTTTGGATTTGGACTTGAACCCCTGGCTCTTGTAGAGGGTGAATAAGCATAGGTTTCCTTTTAGGGCAAATAGATGGGTTTCCCTGATAGATGATTAAACCAACAGGTAAACCAGGGAAACCCATCTATTTTCGACCAAAACAACCAAAAAGGACACCTATGGAAATGAGAAGCCACCCCTAATTGGGAGAACCACCGGGCAACACTGAGCCCATTGCACCCGGGCCATCCTGCAGGAACTGCAGCAGCTCTTTGTCTACCGCCTTGAGGTTCACCTCGGGCATTTCCCCTCGGCCCCAAAAAGACCCATGCGCAGAGGTGTCCTTTTAGGGTAAATAGATGGGTTTCCCTGGTAGGTGATTAAATCACCAGGTAAACCAGGAGGGAAACCCATCTATGTTTCTACCAAAACGACCCAAAAGGACACCTATGCCCGTGCGCCTGCGTCTCAAAGAAAGCTCCTTAAAACAGACCCCCCCAAAAAAAGAAAACTGGTTGGCGTCCCTTTTTTGAGACCACCAAAATAAAGTACCAGCTCCACAAGGGCGGAACCGAAAGCAAGGGAAAATCAGAGCGGATGTGCTGAACGAATTGCATCGCAACCAGACCAGGCAGACAGGAAAAAGGCCGATTTGCTTTCGGCAGTCCTTGCTTCTGCATCTTAGACTAGGAACCAGATTTCCAAACGGCAATAGGTTCTTTTGGTTTCCCTTTAAACGGGCACCCTCAACAAAAACATCCATTTAGGAGCAATGTTCCACCATAGCTTATGAATTGGTACCCTGCAACCCCGTTCGAGTTAGGCCCTTCTGCCCTGCTCAAATCACGGGGAAGCCAAAAGGGCCGGAGACGCATGCTCAAACCCTGTGGAGCATCTGTCGACCTGCACACTTCCACCATCAACTCCGATGGGTCAAAATTAAACCACCAGGGGATCGCAGGTTTCAGTCCATTTACCAGAGGTCCATTTGGGGTGGCGAACGGCCCATGGGTATGGCTCCAAACTAGGGGCCCGAAATGGAGCACTGGTAAATGGAAATTGTAGACTCAAACCTGCGTGTTTTTTTTCCTGGCTCTCTCGAAATTTGAGCCACACCCAAATAAGGGGAGGTGCAATGGTTTGAGAAAGACACTTTCGATGTTCCTCTGAAAAACTGGAAGCACGGGGAAACCTAGGGAGCCAGAAAGAATGTACCAGTTGCGAAATGTCCGGGGAGGGGGGGGGTTGTCAAAATAGTGGTCCCCTAAAATGCCATCTTGACCCTATGTCGACCAGCTTTTGAAAGAAAGCCAGCCACAAAAGACCCAACACAGAAGACGCAGCTTCCGGTCTCAATTCATGTCGAGCCCGGATTCATCAACATTGTAGATTAACAGGGGGATGTTCGCCTAGACGTGAAAGAACCCCCTGCAATGGGACATACTAATCAGTCAGAAGCTTATGAATGTTAACACAGGATGGATAGACTTGTAAATCAACAACCCACTTTGCCACAAGTCCCTTGGGGCTTCTCCAAGCCAAAGAGATTTCTGTCGCCGCTTCATTAGAACATTGCTCTTAAATGGGTGATTGTTGTTGAGGGTGCCCGTTTAGGGGTGGTTTTAAAAGGAAACCAAAGGGAACCCCTTGCCATGCTGTGGTTGTGACTCCTATTTTGAGAGCCTGCAAATAGAAAACGGCAAGCGATGGTCATGTATTTTTGCTTGAAAAAACGTCTTTGCTTTTGAACATGCAGGCCATGTCATCCATCACCTTATATGTTTCCGGAAAAGAAAAAAAACAAAAACAAAAAAACTCGAGAGCCAAACTCTCAAGGGGAAAACTGGTGCGCTAAAACCAGTCGGAGTTGAGAAACCTGGACACCTCCAATCGTTGGTCAACCTGGCCCTTGTATATTCGGTCTGGGCAAATCACTACAAAAATCAAAAAAAAAAAAAAAACGGAAATAGGAGCTCCCACGGAAAGTGGGTGAGACTGGATCAGCCGCCAGCCCCCTTGTTGGGCGATGAACGGATAGGTCGGCAACCCGCGCAAGTTGTTTGTCCACCCGAAAAAATCCAGCCGCTGGTTGTTTCCATGTACAAGCAGCTCAAGCGAGGCTTGCCCAGCTGTGTCTGCATTTGACCACCCCTCACGTGTTTCACTTGCTAAAGTCAGTCAGCAAAGGCAAGCCCCTTCCAGTGTGCCACACAAACGGACGCCAGCAAGGCTGAATCCGCTCTTTCTTTACTTGCCTCTGCATTCCCCCACAAACTGATGCCCCGGCGAAGGTTCCCCCGACTGTGCGTTTTTTGCTCAGCGTTTTCTCCCACGTCTCTCAACAGGATGGGTTCGTCATGCGTCTCTCACGTGTGCCTTCTGCTCATTTTGCCACGTGAGCATATATTAGCATGTAGGCCGTGTTTCAGGTAGGTGTTCTCATGCTCCGCATTGACAAAAGCACATCGGATTGAAATTGGAACAGAGCTGAAGCAGGCACCTTTTTGGGGCTGGAGCAGCTTAGTGGCATTGCCAAAAAGGTTTGGACTTGTCTGGCCAATCTACCTCTTTTTGGTCCTTCCGTGTACCCGAATCGTCCCGGAAAGTCCCAACTCAGTCTGTGCCAGCTGTGCCCTTCGCCGGTCTTGTCCCGACACCGGCCGGTCTCAAAATTCGGGGGCTGCAAGCTTTGGCTTGCTTTGAGCTTCCTTTCAACGCAGGCCCTGGCGTGTCTCAAGTTTTCGGGGACGTAGGCCCTAACAAAGTGCTTTTCCCCGAGTGCTTTGAAGATTTCATCTACCTTTGCGCTGCATTTGTTACTCCTAGTTTGTCGGTGTTCAACCAATCTCCACGCCACAATCAATAGGGTTGAGGCAATCTCACCTTGTCCGGGTCAATCACAAGTCCATCGGCTAGGCAGCATGTTCCGCCATGTTCGAATGTCTGCAAACTGAACAGCTGGGTGGTCCAGGGCCTCTCCAATTCTCGGTTGCTTTCTGCTCCCCTGCCAAAAGTTGAAAACTTTTAGTGGTTTAATACGGAAAACGCATTAGTTGACAAACCGTTCAAGTCCTAACATCCCTTGGCAAAACGCACCAAAGAATTGGCTCCTACCCAAAATAGACCAAAAAATAGGCCAAAATAAACCAAAAAATAGACCACTAAAATAAATAGACCAAAATGGTCTAAGAATTATCCTACCAACTTAAAATAGACTAAAGCGGGTGGTGAATTATCTACCCACCAAAATGAAATCCCAAAACGCTTTTCGACCACAAGCTGAGCGCTGGGTCTCCCAGCCACCCGCGTGGCCAGGTCCTGCTCCAGCGCCACGAGGTCCGTCAACCTCCTCGGCGCGCGGGGGGGGGCCCAGTCGGCTTCTTTGGGGGTCTGAAGACTAGGCTGGAAAAATCACACCCCAGCATGCTTTTGTTTTTGCCTGGTTAGTGGAAAACAAAGGGACCAAAAAAAAAAAACAAAAAAAAAAGGGGAGCTAATTCTGGGGTCGAAAGCGACGGCACAAGCAGAACCACCCCATCTTGAAAGGTGAAAACACTAGGTCCTCCAGTACAGAGCTTAGAATAAGGGTACCAGCTTCTTTCTGTAGTCTCTTTTAGTAGGAGAACCCTCCCAACCAAAAAAGGGTAAAAGGGCACTACTGGGGGACCTAGAACAAGATACCCAAATCATGTTTGGGGGGATTGATGGATTCCATTTTTTTGCATTCGACGAGGCTTTTGTGGACCCGGAGGAGAGTTTTTGGACGACGAACGGTTGGACGACGTGTGGTGTGTGGCTCGGCGTAGTGGACCCAGCTGAGCGACGTGTGCGCGGTAGGCCAGCAAGTTCTTCTTTTCCTTGGTCCTTTAACAAGCTCAAACGCTGAGCGGCGTCACCATAGGTGTCCTTTTAGGGCAAATAGATGGGTTTCCCTGGTAAATGATTGAACCACCAGGGAAACCAGGGAAACCAGGGAAACCAGGGAAACCCATCTATTTTTCGACCAAAGCAACCAAAAAGGACACCTATGGGCGTCACCAGGGCTCTCCTTTTTGGTCTGGTATGTTGCACCAGCATTCAGGATGCCCTCCAGCTCTGCTTTCCGCGCTGGGGAAAGTTTGGCCGTACAGCAGCCGCATGGGGTCTGCGCGTTCTCGAAGACATGCCCGTGTATCGAGGAAGAAAGGCCAAATATTGCAAAGGCCGGACAAAGGAAAGAAGTCATCTGCGAAAGAACACGGGCCTTTTTGGACCCCCCCCCCCCAAAAAAAAAAGAGTGTGTGGTGTTCCTTCTGACTTCCCTTTAAAACGCCCAAAAAGCGGTACCCTCAAAAAAGACACACTCAGATTCCAAGACATCCACTGCAACGCTTGCTTGTTCATTGTGGGGAATGTTTTGTTATTACTGTTACCAACGAAAAAACATCAAAATCAGATTGAAGAAAATGGCCTTCACACCACGTTCGCCAGCCTTCTTTCAACAACTCCTAGCACGTCCAGCCAGGTGACAACGGTTCGAACTTCACTAAAGTCGAGTGATGTGCACATGGTAGCCTTCCAACCCCCCGAATCGCCCCCCATTGGAATTCCATGGAAACGTAGAGCACCCTCTTGTTGGTAGTTGTGCCTCCCCCCCCCCAATGGAGTGAGTGAAGCCCCAACTCTGTCCGCCCTTGGTGAGCAAAACAAATACCAACCAATGGGACCTTTGGTCAACACAGGTCCGGGGCTTCAGAGAACTGTTTGAGACACCGGGCCTTCTCCGCCTCCGAACACCAGAGAAAGCCCGCACGCACAGACACGCCGAACGCCGTGAGTGCTGCAACCCCAAGCCGAAAGCCTCCGCCCCCGCAGCTCCAAACCCAAACCAAGACGCGGCACCGACGCACAATGTGAGGCGTCCCTCTCAAATAGTGCGACGCTGGTATGTAATAACCAACAGAACGTCGAACCGGCGGAACCTGTCGCAAAACGAGACTGGGGGGCCCGGCTTGTCAGCCAGCGCCTGGCATGCCGAGTTGATCGCTGGCATGCCGAGTCGTTCAGCCGGGTCATCTTTTTTACACGGCGCAGTGCCGCTTGAAACCAAGTAAAATCACATCACCAACTAAAATGCCAAGCTGGAACAAAACAAAAAACATGCTGCAGCGGCAGTGCAGGGCTTATCAATCCTGGAATGCCCCGACCAAGGAAATGGTACTTCACTGGAGTCAGAGGTGCAATTTCGGGGTTGAAAGCGGACGAAAAAGCATTCTCGTACTGCGATGATCAGAAAATCAACCGCACCCCAAGACCCACCCTCGTCAGGCTGAGCCCGCCCTAAACCAGCCGCCAGCAAACTCCCAACTGTCCCCCAAAAAAAAACATCCATCCATCCATCCATCCAACCAACCAACCAAGCAACCAACCCAACCCTGGGGAAAATATCACAGCCCTAGAAAGAAAATAATCTAAACGCCACGTCGCCATGCCCCCAAGTTCGCCGCACAGGTCGCTCGGCGTCTCAACACATCCCCGACCCTCGATCCGCGGCTGGCGCGGCTCAATCGAGGCCTCGTGGCAGCGCTCGCAAATCTCCAGGTGGACTTGAAGTTTCTTGAAGCGGTCCTCCCGTCTCGAAACTTTCGACGTCCGAAGCGTCGAGCGTCGACGCCCCCCCGAGGGATTTTGTTCTGACGGAAGTCGAAACCGGGGGGGGGGAATTTTGTTCGCCGACCCAGCTTCAGTCGTGGAAGCTGGGGGGGGGTTCCCCCCAGTTTCAGTCGTGGCAGCTCGAGCAAAAAAACGGTGCAAATCAAGGAGTTCCAGATTGCACCACAGGACGAGTGTCAGATCCCATCTTGGGATCGACAAGCTTGAGCGCCCAATTGTTTTCGCTGGGGGTCCTCTTTCGGGTTCCACGTGGTTTAGGAGGGGCAAGCCAAATGCCAGGGAGACCCCGCGGATGTCGAATATGTGAGGCGAAGTGCCTTCGAAGAACCCTGCGGCCGATGTCAACCAGTCCTGTCCCATGCAAGGAACCCAGTTCAGCAACGGTAGAAAACAAACTGGAACCCTTTTTGGGGGTTGACTACGTGTAGCGGGGAAGAGGCCGGGTCTGGGGAAAAGGACACCACGGGAATCCATAAGAGGCTACGGAAACGTTACAGGCTGGTCCTGCTTGCAAGGCCCGCACATGTGCAAAACAAACAAAGCCGCCCGATGGAGTCCTTGTGCTCGGGCAAGGACTGCACAGATCCTTGCGATGCAGATCTTTGAGCATGAGGCACATAGGTGTCCTTTTAGGACAAATGGATGGGTTTCCCTGGTAGATGATTCAACCACCAGGTAAACCAGGAATCGAAACCCATCTATGTTTCCACCAAAACCGCCAAGAAAAGGACACCTACGAACTTGGGCATGCGGACAATCGCCCTCTGACCCGCTCGAACTGCTTGGCCTTGACTCAGGGATCCTTACATTATACACCTGAACATTGCCATGGAAATTGTGGTTTCCCTTTATTTTGGTGGAAAAAGCCATGTTTCAAATGGGCAAAATGTATCTTTTAAGGAGCCCTGTCCTACCACTAGGAAGCTTTGCCTTCAGACCCACAGAACATTGTGCCTTGTGATATCCACGTGCTCCCAACTTTTTTTCTGACAAAACGCCACCTTACGCGTTGTGCCTCAAAACTTGGCTGGAATTAGGACCCCTTCAAAAAAATGCCTGGTTAGTGGAAAACAATTGGAACCTCAAAAAAGTCGAAAAGAAGAAAATAGTCTGGGGAAGAAAAAGAGTATCACCGTTGAACGTGGCTCTGAAGCCAAACTCCACCCGCGGCTCGGGTCGCGTGTCAACGGCTTCCCTTCGGCTTCTCAGGCTAGCACTGATGGTAGATGAGATCATCCTCAGCGCGCCGAAGCCGGGCTCACGACCTAAACGAGTATTGCAACTGCATATGCCTGAAGAATGTACATCTCTACTCTTGGTATGGTAGCGATTTTTTTTTGCAGAGCCCCGGTAAAAATGAACAGAACAAAAACAAAAAAATAAAACGGGGGGAGGGGGGAAAAAACATGCCAAGAACAGCGAGGTGAATACTGGAGGTTCAAGGCCATCTTTGGGTATGGGCTTTGCAGGTATGGATGCTATACAACCAATATGAGCTTGTAAGCCAGTATTTGCAACATAAGTGGTACAAAGCCTCTATACCTCCAAAACCCCGCTCCCTGAAAATGGCCTTGATAGGTGGACCTCAACCAATCGCAAACTAAGGATTTCTCCTGCTCCTCTATTCAAACCCGCGAAGCTTAAAGCACAACCCGGCAGCTTGCCAAAATATCAAGCACGGATTGACTAGAACTAAAACAGCCCAACAATTTTCACCAAGGATCGCTGCTGAAATGGTCGATCTCTTTTACTGCAAGTGTTCAACTTGCACTACCAACGCTTGCCAACCAGGGAGCGCGCAGGCTCGAGCTAATTAGCTTGGATTTCCACATCGAGGAACGCGCACCATGCTCACTTGCCAAAAGCACCTGGACATAAAAGGTTCGCCTTCACCTTTGGGACCTGCCCAGAGGCTCCCGATTGATTTAGGGCCTTCAAACAACCTGGTTTTGAGACCCCCAACCACCCCCGGCCCGCGGGGGTGTCTAATGGAGGGGTCGGGTCTTCCGTTGAACGCCC